TATGGTTTAAGACCTGCAATTGCGATCGCGCCAAACTTTTTTTTTCTGTAGATCAAAAATTAATTTGCAGTTCGGAATTGTTCTGTGGGAGAGTGTGAATTACGAAAATGAAGCTCTGGTTTTGCAAGACTTCTAGGCACTTCTGTATTCTTTGAAAAATTCGGAAAACATTTAAGAAAAAATCTATTTCAGTCAATTTCAGAGCAATATAAAACTACTTGGATTAAACTCCATTTGGCTGAAAATATCAAGGTATACTAAACAAAAACCGAGCTTCATTTTTGTAGTAGACACCTTCTTTGTAAAAATCCTGAAGAGATAAGCCACGTGGAAGTGACCTACTCTCAAGGCGCCGGTGCCCAGTTTGAAGGGTTGGCGGCTTAAGTGGGCGGGGCCTATTTCAAGGACTCAAACTATTCGGATTCATCTGAAAGTTTCAGAACATGCTGAAAAAAAAACAGAGCTTCATTTTTGTAGTTGCCAACTTTTTTGTAAAATTAGCTCCTGAAGAGATACGCCACCCTTTGTCGCCGATCATCGCGCGAGTCGACTTTTCGAAGACGAGTCTTTTCCACGCGGCGCATCTCTTCAGGACCAAATTTTACAAAAAAGTTGTCAACTACAAAAATAAAGCTCTACTTTTGTTTAGTATATTCTGAAATTTTCAGACAAATCTAGCAATTTCTTCGAACTAAAAATGACTCTCCCACAAAATTTCAAACAAAAAAAAGCTCACATCAGCTCTCCCAGACAATTTCGCCGCATATCTAGCAATCAATTTATGCTCATCATCGATAACTCCTCCGTGTGATGCTTGTCCAGGTAACAAAACTGGCGACGTTGGCCAATCAGCCGATGACGTGGCAGCGTGTTGTCTTCTGATGGTTGTCGGTGTGGCGGGAACAATATTGTTCAGGTTCAAAGGACGAGTTGGTTTTCCAATTGGGACTCCAGTCGTATTCAAAATATCAATATTGGCATCTCCGGACGATGAGGCTGGGATGCATTGAAGACTTTTATGAATGGAGTGGACTAGTTGTTTGGCTGGGGATTTCTGAAACCATTCCATCTGTGTGTTTGTTTGTCCAAATGTCCGCAACTTACATAACTAGAATACTCCTTCATTTCATGCTCATTCGAGTGGTTCTGACTCGTTCTTCCCCTCCAAAAACAACTTTGACATAGTTGATAATTGGCACATCGTTGGCATTTATAACGGAATCCTGTGAAGCTTCTCACTTGACACGCATCACAAACAACTGGATGATAGACATTGCTGACTGCTGCCATACGATGGAGAAGGGGTAACCACATGATGCATGGAGGGCACGGATCGCTGAAATAAGATTGCGAAAGAGCGTATTTGTATTCTTCACTGGATCAGGTTCTCTGTTATACCTAGTGAGCGTTGTAAAATTGGTCTGAACTTGAATCATTCAAGCAAACTTTTTGCATTGACTTTTTGTATTGTGACTTTTTTAAGCCTCAAAATAATGATTCAAAGTTGTTTGATTTGTCTGAAAATTTCAGAATATACTAAACAAAATCACAGCTTCATTTTTGTAGTTGATAGCTTTTTGTAAGATTTGGTCCTGAGCAGATATGGCACGTTGAAACGACCCGACTCTCAAAGCGCCACCCTGACTCGCGCGGCGGTTGGTTCCGTAAAGTGAGGCGCTTCCACGTGGCGTATCTCTTCAGGACCAAATTTTACAAAAAATTTGTCAACTAAAAAAGTGAAGCTCTGTTTTTGTTCGGTATATTCTGAAATTTTCAGCAAAATCGAAAAAGTTTAAAACTTTCTTTCCAGTCTTTGAATTGACAGAAACTCTTTAAAATTTGGTCCGGATGAGATACGCCCCACCTTTTGGTGCTGACCGTCTCGCGAGTTGGGGCGCCGCCTTTAGAGTCGGGTTGCTCCCTCGCGGCATTTCTCTTCAGGACCAAATTTTACATGAAAGTTGTCAACTACAAAAATGAAGCTCCGTTTTCGCTTACTATACTCTGAAATTTTCGGACGAATTGTGTCACATTCAAGTTGTTTCGTATTGCTTTGAAGTTGACTAATTTTGCAACTCGATTCTCACCAGAGCGTACTTTCCCCTCAAACGAACCTCAAAAAAGTGTCCAAAAAGACATTTAACGAAACTTTGTCATCTTTATGAAAGCATTGTGTGACTGCACTTTCAGAAAAACCAAAAGTCGGCGCTTCGAAAACGGCAGTGGTCAGAGAAAGCACTTGTTGTAGGAAATCGGTGAATTTGATATGGTCCATGAGTCCATTGGAATCGGCGATTTGTGAGAAAATGTCTGAAATTATTATTAAATAGATTATTATCAATTGAGCGCTATTGCAACCCTACATCTCAATTTATCCACCAATTTTCCAGCACACAACGTAGCTAATGCGACTTTGATCGAGAATACTGTAAGTCTTCCGGTATTTTGTCTGAAATTCAGTTTTAAGAATTTTGTCGAAAATTCTAAAACCCCTACTTATCATAAGCACCCAACAAGAAAGCCAATAACAGGGAAATGGAGACATCTGTGTCGACGTGTTGCGAAGCTACGAGTCGTTTGTTCAAATTGTGGAATACTGTAGTTAGGAGCAGCTCAGCTCGAGAGGTTTTGATCTAGAATGATCTTTGATCTTTGAGAATTTGATCCTTCAAATTGTTACCACAGTATGGAGAGGAAGTGCATTCAATCCGTTCTCTCTGAATGCTTCGATCATATTCCAAATGTCAACCAGATGGACTTTTGTCTTTTGTTGAATGAATCGAAGTTTGCAGGCGGCTCGATACGTCGCAAATCTGATTGAATCAAAGTCCTGAAGGCCTGGAAATGACATAAATCGTGACCTAATTTTCCGGGGAAAATTTGGACCAGCCGGACGGCGGCCGGCCTAATAGTAAATCTGGTCCAAAATCGAAATCATCAGAATATTCTCGATATGGGGCTCAAAAATTTTGAAATTTCATGGAAAATTTGAATCTACTGTCAAACAATGTCCCACTTGTCCCCTAAGTGTCCCTTGTCAGTGGGGCGCACTTGATAAAGGTCTTTAAAACTGTCATAACTCAGTTCATTTCTAACCTAGATCAATTAAAACGACAGATTTGGAATAAGCAAAACATGCCAGATCAAAGAAAACAAAATCAAAACTAATTTCTTGAATTTTTATTTCGGCTTAAAAATCAGACCGCGACCCAAAGTTATGGTCAAAATTCAAATTGATTGAAATATAGTCGATATGTGGCTCAAGTTGTCAGAATAAATAAGAAACTGTAATTTTCATTGCTCTAGCTGCAAAACCGAGTTATGACAGGTTTAATGAACTTTGTCAAGTGATAAGGGACACTTGGAGACAAGTGCGACAATTTTCGATAATATATTCAAAATTTTCATAAAATTTCCAAAATTTTGACACCCATATCGACTATATTTTGATAATTTTGATTTTCGACCAAATTTTTACTATTAGGCCGCGCTCCGGCTGGCGGTCCAAAATCAAATTTCAAGGAATATAGGCATTATTATACTCAAAACGTTGGAAATTTTATGGAGCATTCAAATCTAGCACTCATATTTGCTGAAAATGCGCTCACAGAAAACTGTGAACCGTGTTATGAAAGTTTCGATGAACTTTGTCAAGTGCGCCCCACTGACAAGGGACACTTGGGGGACAAGTGGGACAGTTTATGATGGTATATTCAATTTTATAATTAAAATTTCGAAATTTTGAGACCCATATCGAGTACATTCAAATGATTTTGATTTTCGACCACATTTTTTCTATTAGGCCGCGGTCCGGCTGGCGGCCCAAAATTAAATTTCAAGGAATATAGGCATGATTATACTCGAAACGTTGGAAGTTTTATGGAGCATTCAAATCTAGCAACTCTTATTTGCTGGAAATCCGTTTACAGAAAGTTTTGAGGAGTTCAACAGAAATTGCGGTAGAGCGAAGTTTTGAAAAAAAAAACTCACGCATTTCATCAATCAACTGTTGCATTTCCGTTGCCACAATCGGCGGTACCGAGTGTAGAATGTGTTCAGGAGATGGACCATTTCCAACGACGCCTACGCCTCCGCCACCATTTGATGACCACATATTCTGGAGAAAATGACCCAATGTCTTCTGAAGAAAGAAGGATGGATTCAGGGGAAAAAGAAGAGGAAACAAGAATTGACGATTGGGGATAGAAAAAGGGAAAACGGACTAATGGGTTTTGCATGTGGCCATGTGCACTGATTTGTCTCGGAAACTCTTCTTTTTTTGGGCTCATTGGAATTTGGGAAATTTACAAAATCTGGAATATTCTGGAAAAATTGGGATAAGAAGAAGGAGATTTTAGGGATTTTTCCGTTTAGAAATGCAGAGAAGAAACTAAAAAAGGCATTTGAAAGAAAAAGAAAAAAATGCAAAAAAGAAGGAAAATGGCGAATTAATTTTTAATTTGTACTACTACGGGACCCACCGTTTTTACCTCTTTTCTTATGCGCACCGAACATTTAGCTCAGAGGGAAATAGTGTGCAAAAGAGAGCGACGCAGAATGGATCGATGTGTGGAGAGAAGAGGAAGAAGAAGAAGAAGATGGAGCAGTTGGAAGGGAAAAGAAGAAGAAGAAGAAGGGATGAAGCATACGGAGAAGAAGAAAAGTGATGAGAAAAGAGAGAGAGAGAGAGAGAGAGAGAGAGAGAGAGAGAGAGAGAGAGAGAGGAGATGAATGGATGAGTATGTGCCGTTGAGGAGAGATACGACTCATTTCTCATTTTACGAGCAAAGTTTATCTTGTCGAGAGAACACCCTGTGTGTTAATTGGGCAATAAAAAGTCTGAAAAATCTAGACTTTGAGATTTGAAATTTAAAAATCGGAAATCAGTATCTCCAGACGAATCTGGAACTGAAAAGAAAAATTCTAACCAAAAAATTTTTGAGTCAAATATGATTGAATCAAAGTTTTGTAGGCCTGGAAATAGCATAAATTGTGAGAAAGTAAGTCAAATCAAAATTTGGTCTAATTTTTTATTGAAATTCTGCAAAACTCCTATAAATTTTCTGGGAACACATTTTTAACAAATATAAGTCCCATATTCAAATTCTCCTTAACATTTCCCAAATTTTGAGTATACCATTGCCTATATTCCTTGAAATTTGATTTTAGGCCGCCAGCAGGACCGTGGTCAAATAGTAAATTTGGTCGAAAATCAAAATCATCAGAATATACTCGATATGGGTGTCAAAATTTTGGAAATTTTAGGAGCATTTTGAATACACCATCAAAAACTGTCCCACAAGCTCGGGGGACAAATGTCCCCTAAGAGTCCCTTGTCGGTGGGGCGCACTTGACAAATTCATTGAAACTGTCATAGCTCAGTTCATTTTGCAGCTAGAGCAATCAAAGTTACAGTTTTGGAATCAGCAGAACATCCTCTTTGACTTCCTGAAACTCTTGAATTTTCAGGAATTGAAAAAACAAAAAAAAATCGTTTATAAGATTTATATCCCCACGAAAATTTTACAGACAAACAATGAAAATCAAAAAAAAAATTAGAATACAGCGATTTGACCGCTTTCCAGCATTGCACGAATTCGGAACTTCTGAATTTTGGTATGCACTCGGGGGAAGTCGTCAACGAAGGCGAAGGCGTCAGGAGCGACAAACTGAAACATTTGAAATTATTATAACTTTTGAGATTTAACATGGAATGACTCCCAAGTGTTACCCTCGAAAAAAATCGAGACCTATATGGTTGGATAGAGCGTAAAAAGTTATTTTAGATTCCAAACGGAATAGTTGGTAAAATTTTTTTTTTGGGAGTTATGTCCCAAAAAGTACCAAAAAATGCCTAAATTTTCAAAAAATCATAACTTTGTCAGTTTATGTCCGTTTGTTGAAATTTAAAAAACAGTAGATAGACAATTAATTGAACATTAGAGAATAAATTTTTTTTAGTTATTTTCCTATTGATTGGATAATTGATTTTTTGAAAAAATCAAAAAAATTTTCAATATCTAATCTGTATTCTGTATTCTGTATTTCTGTATTATCTGTATTTTTTACGTAATAAATACAATACAATACAATACAATCTAAAAAAATCCTAGGTTAACTTTTTTTTCATTATGTCCATTGAACTCAGCACGTTTGATTTACTATAAACCATATCAATACCCCGGGGGAAATCATGTCAAAGTCAATTTTTCAAATGCCGTACCATTTCTTAAAATCATCATCTTGAAAAAATCAAAACATGTGACAGGGCACATCTATAGTTAAACTTGATAGAAACGGCCAAACTATTTTTTAACGTAATCAAAAGAACGTAATCTTATCAACGGCTTAAACAGAATTTCGATTTAGGCCCTAGAATCAAAAATATTTACGATTTTTCGAGCCTGACCCCTATTTTTGGTGAAGTGTGACATGTGACAGGGCACATCTATAGAAAAACTTGATGGAAACAGCTAAAGTTTTGTTTAAACATGATTAAAATGACAAAATCTTATCAACGGCTTGAACAGAATTTTAAATTAGGCCCTAAAAATAAAAATATTCACTGATGATGGGACACCTTTTGTTTTTGATCATAACTTGAGAACGAAAAAAAATATCAAAAAACTGTTAACGCCATTCGATTTAAAATTAAAAAATACTATTAGACAAATGTTATTGGTTTGTTTCGTATCGCGAAAATAGGTGAAATAGAAAAGGTCGATTTCGGCTGTCCGAAGCTGGAAGGATATCTTTCGGAAATCGTTCATTTAACCTACTTTCACCACAGGGACCAAGTTGATTCCACTTTTTCTATGTTATTGTTTCATTTTAAATTAAAGAAGTCTACATGAAATGGAGCTTTGTATTCAGATGAAGATACCGTAATCCCTCTAATGAAGCCAAATCAAATTGTCAACTTCAAGTCTAAATATCTCGGTCCTTGTGACAGATATCAAAACGTGGTCAATTGGTAAAATGTTCATTATAATATCACAAGCATTTTATCAGTTGATCACTTTTTGATATCTTTTACAGGAAATGAGATATATAAACGCAAAGTTTAAAATAGTCCAATATAGCGCACTTACATGATGTGATCTACACATGCTCTTCAGCTCGTCCTTGAGTTTTGCCGCGTGGAATTGTGTACTTCTAGCTACACAAACCGCCGTTACCGGTTGTCCTCTGCCACGTGACACCACCTGAACACCTTTTATCAAGTCATTCTGATTCAGAAGACGTTCCAAATTCCAGTGCTCCACTAGACAATTATTTTTGTCGTAGATCAAATCCTCCTCATTCGCGACAACCTCAATCGCTCCGTTTTCATCCATTCGTGCGATATCACTGAAAACTTTTTAACTTTTCTGATTGTCATTGGAGCGCACTCACCCAGTGTCCACCCATTTCTCTTTTCCCTTTGTATCCGGTGCGTATCCCATAAATGTGGATCCATAGTAAACCCGAATCAATAGTTTGCCCAATTTTCCCGTCTCCACTTGATTTTCAGACCCATCAAGAGGTATCAGATGAGCCTCGTAACCGGCAATCGCTTTTCCCACATTTCGAGTGAAATCCGAATTTTGATCTCCCATTAAAGGTATCGATCCGGTCTCTGTTAGTAGGTAGCCGACCTGGAATCGATTGTAACTTTGTTGGTTTTAGAGATATCAAAACATGTTAACTATGAAAATGTAGAACATAAAATTCTGAACATTTTTGTAGTTGTAATTTGTTTTGTAGCTGAATTGGTTTTTGAGATATGCATTTTTCAAGATGTCGCGGCGAGCAGGAGCGGAGGAGGCAACTCAACTTTGAAGGCGCATATCTCAGAAAACCAAAAAGATAGAAAAAAGTTGTAAACTGCAAAACTGTAGGAAATTAAGTTTTAAACTTTTGTGCATTTGTTAACTTTTTTGTAGCTTATTTGGTTTTTGAGATACCGTAAAACCTCTAATAGAACGACACCCGGATCGTCCACTTTGAGCCTATATATCTCATTTTCTGCAAAAGATATCAAAAAGTGGCTAACTAGTAAAATGTTGCTGATATCCTGATAAACATTTTACTAGTTAACCACTTTTTGATATCTTTCAAAAGAAGTGAGATATATAGGCTCAAATTGGACGATCCGGGTGTCGTTCTATTAGAGGTTTTACGGTATGCGCCTTTAAATTTTTTGCTGCAAGCAAGAGGAAGGAGGAGGCACCCTAACTCTAAAGGTGCATATCTCGGAAACCATAAAAAATAACAAAAACTTATTAATTATAAAACTGTAGAACATAAAATTTTAAACACTTTTGTTGTTGTAACCTTTTTGTAATTAATTTGGTTTTTGAAATATGCGCCTTTAAAGTATTTGCGGCAAGACGGAGCAAGGAGGAGGAGACCCAATTTTAAAGGCGCATATGCGGCATATCTTAGAAAATTGAAAAAGTAGCAAAAAGTTGTCAGCTACAAAAATATGGAGCATAAAATTTTTAACATTTTTGTATTTATAAAATTTTTGTAGCTTATTTGGTTTTTGAGATGTGCCTTTAAAGATGTACTTCAAAGCCGTGCCGGAGGAGATGAGACCTACCAATTTTAAAGGCGCATATCTCAGAAATCATAAAATGCAGTTTTAAAAACTCACCGCAATGATTTTAACATTTTCAGCTTGCAATTTGATCAATTTCAGCACTTCCTTTGATACGCGATCCCCAATCAATAAAATATTCTCAAGCGCCGATAGTTTGACTCTCTGAGTCTGACTAATTTTTAGAAGAAGTCGCAAAGCTGCTCCATTAGACAGAAGAGTTGTACATTTGTATTTACTGACACTTGAGAACAAATTCTTCGGAAGGGGCGTGGCATCTGGGAAAACAATTCGGCATTCAGTGAGGAATGGCGAAAGGCAGACTAGGTTGAAAATGGCGATTCGGAAAATTGGAAGAGCACAAGCTAGGACGTGCTGGAATATAGTATTTTTAAATGCGCTCTATCGATAACTTACCTTATCGTTGATTCCAAAAGCCGCTGCCACGGCTCTCGCTCCGTTCAACATTTGATAGTGAGACAGGGAGATCAGTTTTGGTGCTCCAGTGGTTCCCTAGAAAATGCAAGTATGCTCTATTGATAAGAATGATAAAGATGAAACATACCAATGTAAATTGAAGGCATGCGAGTTTATGACTGGACCATTTTGAAAAATCCGGCAATTTTGCGATTTTGTCTTTGGAGGATTTCAGGAAAACTTCGGACAGAGTGAAAGTTCCGCTGAAAATAGCAACTGCGCTCCATCGCAAAATAAACAAGACTCACGCATGCTTATGCTCTTCCTCAGCCAAAATGACATGAGTCAATTTCGGAAGCAGTTCACTTTTCAGCTGTCCTTTTCTCGATCTCATTATCTCTGGAGCAATTTCTAGAAGCAAATTGTTGAGGTGATCTGCCTCGTATTGATGAGCACGGAAGCAAATGATGCATTGAAATTCTCCCTAATGAGTTATTTATTATTATCAATAGAGCGTACTTGCCACCAACCAATTCAAGTGCTCGTTTCAGCGAAAAACTGTTGGAGTAGTTGGGATTAGCCAGAGAGAAGACCAATCCAGCTCGAGAACATGCCAAGGCGCAGAGCATTACCTGAAAAAGAGGTTTTTGATGGAAGAAAGCCAATTTGAAATTTTCAGTTAAATCCAAAAAAAATCGATTATATTTTTAGACATTCAAAGTTGATCATTTTCCTTTAGATGGTACGGTATTTCCAGAAGCTTGTTCAATTCGTCAACTTTGAGCTCAATTATCTCGGCTCCTATGAGAGATATCGAAATTCCGTCAACTGATAAAATAATTGCTATATTATGATAAATATTTATTGATTGATTGCATTTTAATACCTTTCACAGAAAACCAGATAATTGAACTCAAAGTTGACGGTTCAGATGGGCTTATATCAGCGGGCATACGGTATCTAACAACGTGTAGGCAACTTTAAACCAATTTATCTGGGTTCCTGTCAAAGATATCAAAAAGTTGTAAACTGACAAAATATTAATGATATTATAACAAAAATTTTATCATTTGACCATTTTTTGATATCTTTTATGGGAAACGAGAAAATTTGGGTCAAAGTACCGTTATTACTCTGAGAGATGGTCATCCTATACTTGCTATTTGAGCTCAATTATCTTGACTCCTATGAGAGATATCAAAATTATGTCAACTAATAAAACATTTTTTATACTATGATAAACATTTCATCACTTGACCATTTTTTGATATCTTTCATATGAAACGAGAAAAATTGGGTCAAAGTAACGTAACCACTCTGTGAGAATGGCCCCAGAACAGTCAAATTTGAGTTCAATTATCTCAATTTCTACTAGAGATATAAAAAATTTGTCAACAGACATAATATTTCTGATAGTATGATAAATAATTTATTTTTTGACAACTTTTGATATCTTTCGCAGGAAACAAGATAAATTGGATCAAATTCTATGTGCACTACCTGTGAATGATTGCTTCCAGCGACAAGAACTCGATCTCCTTGTTTCAACCCAATCGATAGAAATCCAGCAGCTAGAGATTCCATTTCAGATACAATTTTCGAAAATGTTAGCGACTGTTTTTCAGCATCAAATACCGCCGCAACACGATCCATTTCAGCTTTTGTATAGATCAATTGTGGTATCGTTTGCGAATCGAAATCGATTTGTTTTGGGGGCGGAGCTTTTGAGACTCCCTGAAAAATTTTGTTTTTTAAGAAGCCATCTACCGTACCAGTATAGCTGGCGCGACTCGAGCGCTTTTGACTGGTGCGCCTTCGACGCGATTTAACCTATTTATTACGCGTCAAATTATATGTAATGTTGAAGCTTTAAAAAATTCCTTATCAATATTAGGTCACGACCCCTCCTTCTTTCCACGGTTCAAAAATTGCCACGCATTGGAAAAAGAATCAGTTCTCTGGGAAATCAAATTCTTTGAACTTTATTGTTGGATAATTTTCACAGGAACTTTCTCACTGGTAAGAAGCTCTCTGCATTACGCTGCTTATTGTTGTCTCTTTTGCTTTTTTCTCTCGATTGGTTGCATGTGAAAAAGTACTAAAAGGCCCAAAGGGTTGCCATGTTCCGGGGTTCATGGCTAGGTGTTCTATCACTGAACGTCCCCCAGTAGCAAGAGATTTTATCAAAGATTAAAAAAATTGAGACAACAGTGAAAAGCGGTATGCGATGTGGCTTCTCATCAGGGAGAAGGAGCTTTTGAAAATTAACCGACAATGGTCTCCGAAAAGAGGGGTTTTTCGGCTGACTTCTTGCCTTTTTTGTTAGGGGTTGGGGGACCCCTCCCTCCAATCCCTATGGGTTTTAGAAGGTGATCCCATTGGAAAATAAACCTTATTTCCCTTTCATGTACTGAGCCTCTACGTGGCGAAAGGGATCAACAGACGAAACATTCGTCTGGCTAATCAGTACACTATTGAACTTTGTTTTTTTTTTGTAAATGTTTAATTTTCATTTAAAAAAATTATTCTGTTGATTTTGACTGTTTTCAGGAGTATATAGCTCGAGACCTAGATTGAAAGCTTTCTATCCATATACCGTAAACACTCTAAGTCACCCAAATCATCCGCTTTGAGCCCATGCATCTCATTTCCTGTAAAAGATATCAACAAACTTTAAATTAATAAAATGTTGCTGATATTATGATGAACATTTTCTTAGTTGACTATTTTTAGGTATCTCCTACAGGAACCGAGATATATCGTCTCAAAGTCAAAGTATGTTCAGGCGTTCTGTTAGAGTCTTTACGGTAACTTTTTGAAAATTCCTAGATTTTCCATTTTTTGCCGATTTCTGACAGGCTCCTTTTTTGGCCAGTTTTTTTTACTGAAAACGTGAAAAAAATAGATGTCTTTCCGAAATCGACAAATAGCTGAAGATCTGGAAAATTTCAAAAAATTCTGTGAATGCAAAGTTTTCCATCTAGGTCTGTTTTAGAAACTTGACAAGCAAGCTTCAGATGGTCAAAATTGCTCAAAATCAACTGAAAAAATTCTGTTTTGAATATCTTATCGACCGACGCTGAAAAATCCTATACATTTTTTGTGCTCATTCCATTTATTAAACTACCTATCGTCAATAGAAAGCCCAAAAAACCGTTAACTTTGACCTAGTTTATCACAATTCCTGTTATAGATATCAAAAAGTTATCGACTTATAAATTATTTATCATAATATCACCAATATTTTATCAGTTGACAAAATTTGGATAGCTTCTACAAGAATCGAGATAGTTAGGCTCAAAGTTGAGGGTACTTAGTAGGCTTCTATTAGAGGAAGTACGGTATGGCGTATCTCCTCAGTGCCAAATTTTTCCAAAACGTTATCAATTATAAAAATGAAGATCTATTTCTGTTTAGTATTTTCTAAAACTTTCAGAAGATTCGAAACATTTTGAACCATTATTGTAAGACTTTGAAAAAAAGACACCTACCGTAACCCAACCATTGTAGTCAATACAAAAAGTTTGCTGGAAAAAGTCAGCCATTTCCGTTGAGAAATCTTCACCAATCCAAAAAAATCACTACTCTCCGGAAGATGATTGTATTACGAAACGTGGGACTTGTTGTTTCCCGACAGCGCTCCCCGAATCCGAAGCCAACTGTCACTTCTGGGGTTGAAAAAATCCACGACGACGAGAGATATTTATTTGTTGAAGAGACGCAGACGATTGATGGGACTAGTCAGATAGAGAGAGGATTTTCGAAACAACAGAGAGTTGTAAAAAAACGGAAGGGACCGATAAACAAACGGGGAACGTGATGGGAATGGATCCATCTTATGACTATTGGTCAGTCGGAAAAATAGGAACTGTTTTGGAAAATTTGATAGCTATAGATTTTTCAGAAATTCATCTGAAAAGTTTTTCAAATACAGATGAGTTCAATTTTAAGCGATGGCCCAAAAATTTAGGGCTGAATTCAAGTATAGCCCCCAAAATGAACCATAGTTGAGCCCCCCACCTCCAACAATCTAGACACTTGCAGCAGTTCATAAAAAGCCCCCCACCAATTCAAATATAGACCCCCACTTTTAAATGGTCCATTCCAATTCAAAAAAAGCCCCCCACCCATTCAATTATAGACCCCCACTTTTGCGTAGTTTGTGGTGTGTGAAGGGTACCGTAACCGTCATGATGAAAATTTTGAGCTTTTTTTTAAATTTTTCTTTGATTTTTTCGGAATTTGTGTCATTTTTCACCATTTTTCCTTGTTTCTTGGGAACTTTTTCTGAAAAATACTTGTCAGCTATGTATATCTTATCAGAACTTCCAAAATTAAAACATTCTAAAATTCAGGCTTAGGCCAAAAAATGGTGGGGACCTATTTTTGAATTGGTGGTGGTCTAAAATTGAATGGGTGGGGGGTTATTTTTGAATTGGTGGGGGGTCATATTTGAATAAAGTGGTGGGCTCAGATAAGGTTCTTTTTTTGGGGGCTATTTTTGAATGGTTGGGGGCTTTAATTGAAGAAGGCAGGGAGGGGTGGGGGCCATATTTTAAGAATACCAGGTTCTTCAAAAATAGGCTCCCACTTTGTACTGTTGGGGGGTCATACTTTAATCAACCAATTCAACTTCAGCCCCCCACACCTCAGTAGAGCCCCCCCATTTTTGTACTGGTGGGGGGACTCTACTATAGTTGTTTATAAGGTGGGGGGTCATATTGAGGTGGGGGCTATATTTGAATTATACCAAATTTAGCTATGAATCTCTTATTTGAGCAAAGTTATGGTCTGAATAATTCAAAAAAAAAAGTTTTTATTCTGAAAATTACCGAAAAATGTGAATTTCCAAAAAATCCAGAAAATCGAAAAAAAAGTGAACTTTCCGAAAGTTAAGAAACGTTGATGAATCTTAATGAAAATTCTAAAATTCTATTTCTGAAAATTTTTAAACTCAAAATTTTCAGAAAATTCAAAAAATTTCCAAAATTTAAAAAAATTTAAAATTCGCAGAATTTTGAAAAACTCTGAAATTTCAAATATCCTGGAATTTCCGGAATATTTTTTAAAAAATCAGATATTTCAAAGAAACTCAAAAATTTCCCAAAAATTTAAACAAATTTCAATAAAATTCTAAAAATTTCAAAAAATCAAAAAATTTTTTTTTAATTTCTAAATTTTTTTCCAAAAAAAATCTAAAAGCCTAAAATTCTGAAGAAAATCGAAAATTCCTAAGTTTTTGAAAATTCCAAAAATTTGAAAATTTGAAATTGACGAAACTCCAAAATTCAAAAAACTCTGAAAATTCTAAAAATTTCAAGTTTTGAAATTCCGAGAAGTCTCAAAAATTCCAAAAAATCGAAATGTTTAAATTTAAAAATTGAGAAAAATCAAAAAAAAAATCTGAGCATTCCGAAATTTTAAAATCCATTACAACAAAAAAAAGCTCAACTTGAAAAATTGAGAAAAAAAAATGAAATTTAATTTTGTCCGTAACTTCAGAAGTAGGTCAAATAATAACATTTTTTCAATCTTTGTCAATTTTTTAAATGCTGTAAAAAGTTTAAGATAAACTCTGGCTCAGTTCAATTCAGTTAAAAAAAGAAATTTTCAATTCCAAATTCATTTTTCATACAAAAAAAGACACAGGCAACATTTTGGTTCACTAGTTGTTCTTGTTTTCCAATGGTCCATAGGCTATGGAGTCCACTCAACAATTGGTTTTCCTCCAAAGTGATACCACATGGTTTCGAAATCGTTCGCCGAAATTTCGGCACCCTTTTTTCTGAGAAGACCAGTCTGCTCCAATGGCAGTTCACACATTTGCAAATCATCTTTGCCTGCAAATGAGAAATTTCGAAATTTTGAAATTCTCAGAGGCTCACCGGAAACGAGTAGTTGTGGTTTTTGAGACGGACGAATTGTCAACTGACGACGAATGTATTGTCCGTTGAAATGGGCATACCACATGCCGGATTGGGATCCGCCATCTAAAGAAACAAAGGTTTTTTGAATTTTCAAAATTTTAATTTCGGAAGGAATAGATTTTGAAAAACTTTAAAATTTCCCACATGTTCACTTTGCGCTCAATTATCTCGGCTTCTATAAAAGATACCAAAAATCTGTCAACTAATAAAATTTTGCTGATATCGTGATTAACAACTTATCAGTTAACTCATTTTAGATATCTTTTACGGAAATCGAAATATTTGGGCTCAAAATTGGCGGTTTGATTGGTCTAGGTTTTCAATATTTTGGCAAGTCGGAAAATCGAAAAAAAGGACCAAAGCCTATCACTTTATACCATTTTGTACAATTTTTCAAGATATAAATTTTAAAATGTAATTCAAATAAAAATAGTCAGCTTGAAAAATGTTATAAGCTCTAAACCAAAACTCACTTTTCCTATTGTCCGTCGCAAACGAGACCTTGAAATAGCGTTGTTGAGTCAACGCCGGATTGAGATGAGGAGCCGCCTGGACACGAGACACCATCATTGATGAGCTCGGTTTTTCTGGAAGAATTATTGATTGAAAAAATTAGATCATCTGTAGTTTTGGTTGTGATGTTTTGGACTCATGTTATCGTAAATCCTATAATAGAACCCAATCATAGGTACACTTTGAGCTCAATTATTTTGGTTTCTGTGCAAGATATGAAAAAGTAGTCAACTACAAAAATGTTTTTCAAATTATGAGCAATCAGTTGACCACTTTTTGATATCATGTACAGAAACCGATAAATTGGCTCAAAGTTGATAAGGGTCCTTATCCACCATAAGTTCATTTCAAATTTTTTTTAGAGATTAGGTCAAATGATTTAGGTCAAATTCAGGAAATCAAATTTAGAGTTATTCTAGATCCAGCTATATTCCATTTTGGTTCTTTTCATTTTCTCGCTAATTGCCCTCATTATCAAGCTTACGTTGACTGTAGACTGTCAATGGAGCACGCGTCGGTGGAACATCTCGATTCGCCGAATTCTTCGATTTCCACTCGTTGTAGATGCGAAGACGACGATGGAATTCCTCTTTGCATGCCACCAACAGTTCCATATCTGCAAAAATAAGGTCCAACCGTTCCTCCAGCTATCTCTAATTACTCACCGTTACTCGTATTAATTGCATCACGAAGATCCGCATACTTCCAGTTACCCAAATCATATTTTGACTGTGTTTGCTGTTTCTGCGCTCCACTCCCAGGAGACACTTCAGATGACGTTGAAGTGGTTGTCATGTTGGTGTTCTCCTGAGCAACCAGTGCCACGCCATCCGACAAAGCCAAACGAGCCGAGACAATTGCATCGAGACGATCTCTCTCCTCATGATCACGTCTCTTCTGTTCCTCTTCAGCCTCTGCCGCTTCCTTCTGCTTCTCGAGTTCCAGTTGCATCTCGTACTCTTTTTGCGCCTTCTCACGCTCCTCCTCCATCTTGCGACGTCTTCAAAAATCAGTTTGATTGACCAATCAATGTTTTAAAGTTTGGTATTCATCACAAAATTTAAAAACCTCAGAATTTCCCAGCCAAGTTCATTTCAAAAACTCACAAAAGTCTCTCCTGCTCCGCAGCGGCCTTCTCCTCCAGCTCGCGACGTTCCTTCTCTTCGGCTTCTCGGCGTGCACGCTCCACCTCAGCGAGTTCGTCATTTTCCAATTGTTGTCTGCAATTTTGATGGATACTGTACTTTGAATAAAAGAGTTTCTTTTTTTAATTCAAGAAAATACTAATTAGCGTAAAACCTATAATAGAAGAGCTCCACACTGTCAAGTTTGAGCCCATATACCTCGGTTCTTGTAGCAGTTATCAAAAGGCGGTCAACTGATAAAACGTTTGTGATGTTATGATAAACAATTTATCAGTTAACAACTTTTCGAAATCTGTCACGGGAAGCGAGAAAAATTGACTCAAAGTTAAAAGTTGAAAAAAAAACAAACTTCAAATCGGCAATAATCGAATCAACTCTGGCGACACACTCCTCGTAACACTTGACAGCTCGATCAATCTCCTCCTCCAAATCGTCGTTTTTGATCCGCTTGACGAGCTCTTCGAGTTCGGAAGTCGTCGAATCGGCCGCTTGTCTCCATTTGTCCTGACTCGTCTCGTTCATACGAGCCAAAATCTAAAGCAAAATTGCTCATTTTTCAATTTCCATAAAACCTCTAATAGAAGGGCACTGATACATTGAGCCAATTTTTCTCGCTTTCCGTCAATGATATAAAAAAGTTGTCAACTGATAAGTTGTTCATCAAATCGATATCTTTCACAAAAACCGAGATATATGGGCTCAAAGCTAGGGGGCCTTATATTACAGGAAACTAACGTCAGTCATCTCACGAGAATGTTCGAGAAGAGCACATGCTTTGCGGTAGACGGCAAGTCTGGAAGGTGACATTTTTGGGGTGAATGAAGAAAGTCGAAAAGGAAAATTCTCGAAAAAAAATTTTTCAAGAGCCCTCGAATTCACATAAAATCTATGGGTTGCCAGGGGAAGTGTTGTCCAGGAGATATGGGAAAATTTGAAAAAAAAAACTGAAAAGATTGGAGAGACGCAGAGAAAAAGGCAAAACCAAAGTGTCCCAAAATTTGGTCCAGTTTTATATTTGTCCGTTTTCAAAATTTATGAAAATTCAAACTTTCAAAAAACTTCAGTTTCAGAAAAAAGAAGGCTGAAGTTTAAAAAAAGCGGAAATTTTGAAAATAGTCCTAATTTCCTAGAACATGATCTATAAATTCAAAATCGCTTTTGGCAGGAAATTCTGGCTTCACGTCACTTTGCAACCACGACGTTTTGAAACCGGTCATTTCGAAACTGCATGACACTTCAAAATCGGTCATTTCGAAACCGCTGCACTTCGAAACCAGTCGTTTCGAAACTGCGAAACTTGCACGTTGAAATTTTTTCTTCAATTTAAGACTTAAAATTTCCAATTTTCAATGTCATTTTTAAGTGACCGTGTTTTTTCTCGGTTTCGAAATGACCGGTTTCGAAGTGTCGCGGTTTCGAACTGACGCGGAGCCGAAATTCAAAAAAAAAACTCCATAAATCCTAAAAATAGATCAAAAACCCTATTGTCTGATCATTCCCAAAAAGACAGAGAAAAAGAGAAAAAAATAGAACTGAGTTGAGTTTTTTTTTTGTTCTGGTTCAATTCAAATTCCCATGAGAATTTTGTGGGACGACCGGAGACGACGATGACCCCCGTAAAAAAAAGAAGACGTCGTCGTCGTCTTTTTTTGAAGGTTCTGTGTACAAAATTCAGGAGAGAATATATTCCAAGAAAATGAAATAGAGAGAGGAGGAGAGCAATTGGGAGAGCAGGAAGAGCAGGAAATAGGGGCGGAATTTCCAAATTTCTGGGGTTTAGTAAATTAAAAATTGGCTCTTTTTCTCTATTTTCTCTGGAACGGCACGTAGAAGAGCGTCAGAATCCGAAAGTGAAATCAAACCTCAGAGAATGGCTCATATTTGAAAAAAAAAAGAAGGGATGAGCTCAAAAAAAGTAAAGAGCTTCTTAAAGATAGAGACTGAACATTTTTCTTTGAGCTGAAAATCCAAGTGCTTCTTTTCACATAGAAGACTAGAAATCATAATTGGTAGGTCAAAAACTCGCAACACTTGCACTTTTACCATAATTACCTAAAAAGCTGTAATAAACGATAGAATAGAAGGGCTCCTCAAGTTTGAGCTCATATTTCTCAGTTCCTATAAGAGATATCAAAATATTTTTAACTGATAAAATTTATATTTTTATATCAGTAGCATTTTATCAGTTGGCAACTTTTTCATATCTTTGACAGGAACCGAGATAAATTGGGTCAAAATTAAAGGTTAGGGGCCTTTCTGTTACAGATTTTACCGTAATTTATCAGGCTTCAATATATATTTGTTTCCGATTTTTGAAAAATTCCAAAAAAAATAAAAATCGTAATTTCAAAGCTTAAAAAACCCTAATTTTCCATGTCAAAAAAACCCAAAATAGGATCATGATGGGGTAAGAAAAAGGATGCAAAATAGGAGAAAATAGGATTTGTGTATGTATATTTGTTCTCTCTTCTTCCTCTTTTTTTTTTATAAGACTATTAGAAAATCTTCCCCAAAAATAAAAAAAGCAAGAAAATGAGATGTGACATTGAGCGGAGGATGCGGGTGGGGGGGCATTTGCAAAAAAAAAAAAATTTCGGGACAACCAAAAAAAATAGGAATCGGAAATCTATGCATTTTGTGATGAGTTTTGACAGGGGAGGCTAAAAAGTTTTGAGATTCGAAAATAATGAATTGGAATATGTCTTCGAAATGCTGTATTTTCTAAATATCAAAAGTCACAAATTTGAAATTTCCGAATTTTCGAACTCTACCGTGTTTTCTCTTATAGAAGCCACACCTAAACGGTCTGAACTTTGAGCTCAATTATCTCGGTTCCTATAGGAGCTATCGAAAATTTGTCAACTAATAAAATGTTTCTGATATCATGATTAACAACTCATCAGTTAACACATTTTAGATATCTTTTATAGCAACCGAGAGCGAGCTCAAAGCTCAAGTATTAGATGGGCTTCTATTAGAACAAAATTTTCAAAAAATCTTGTAAGGGAATAAAAAAGAGAATGGAAAATAGAAAAAAACATGAGATCTTACTCCTCCGCCTTCTCCTCCTTTTATCATCTTTTTCTCTTCCTAATGAACTTAATTTCGCCAAAAAAAGGAATCAATTTTTCATATTTTTCCTCTTTTTCTAACCGCCCACTTTGAGCTTATTTATTTGAGATTATGAAAGATACCTAATAGTTGTCAACTAACAAAATCTCAAGGTATCAAAAATTTTTTATCAGTTGACACCTTTTTGATATCTTTCACAGGAAATGAGATATGGGCTTACGGTATTTTTGAATTTCCAAAAAATTTTCAGAAACCAAAAAATATTCCAGACAAAAACACCGATAATTGAAGTATGGGAAAATTCGGATCCAGTTTTCAGAAGAAGAAGAAGAAGAGAGGGTCATCATTTTGGGGCAAGGGAGAGAGAAAGAGAGAAATCGAGCTTCTCCTCATCGGAAAAAAAAGACAAACAAAAACAAAATTAAATCGAGCAAAAGAAGGAGAAGACAAGGAATAAAAGAGGAGAAGGAGAAGGAGAAATAAGAAAAGAGAGTAATTATCTTTTCAAACTGATCAGAGCCAAAATGTTCTTCTGACTAGACAACAATAAAATATTATTTTTGGGACCCTCAAAAAGAGAAACCAGCCGTTTCGAAACCAGTCACTTCGAAACCGGTCACTTCGAAACCGGTCACTTCGAAACCGAAAAAAAACACAGTCAAGTAAAAATGAAATTGAAAATTGGAAATTTTAAGTCTTAAATTAAAGAAAAAAAATTGAAGCGTGCAAATTTCGCAGTTTTGAAATGACTGGTTTCGAAGTGTCACGTAGTTTCGAAATGGCTGGTTTCGGAATGTCGCGGTTTCGAAGTGACGCGGAGCCGAAATTTCGAGTCCATTGGCCTAAATCTGGTTTTCTAGACCACCAAACAAAAACCAACCTTTTATGGAAACGTTTGCGGACCAAATATCCTCTCATCCACGCCTGGATCTTCTTGATCTTGTCAGCACGGTACAGGATTTTGTTCTTCACTGAAAAAAAAAATCAAATGTTTGGGGGAAATTTTGAATTTCTCCAATTTCCATTTCAGATGACGTCAACGTCATCTGAAATTTGGAAAATAAAAAAAAACAAATGATTCATCTTGGATCAAAGTCTTTGAATTAAAAGAAACTGCCTTAATTTCTAGATTGATCCAATTTTCATAAAATTGACCTCGTTATGTTTTAATAAGTAACAAGACCTAGATTTTTCAGAAATGAATTTTCTAACTAAACATTTGTAAAGTGGCCCAACTTCCACTGGCCTAGAAAATTCAAAAAAAACTGACGCTTGATAACACTCCACGTTCCATACTGAGCCTTTCTCCAACGAGCCTTGATGAGCCAATCGGTGACTTTTGAGATCAATTCCATCATGGTATCCGGGTCTTGCTTCATCATCTGAAAACACTTTTTTTAACATAAAATTTGATTAAAATACAGTATTCTTAATTAGTAGGACATACGGTATTTTCTATAAAGCGGACCAACCAAACTTTGAGCTCACTTATCTCAATTTCTATAAGAGATATCAAAAAGAAGTCAACTGATAACTGTTTGTTATATTATCACCAATATTTCATCAGTTGACCAATTTTTGATATCTTTGACAGGAACCGAGCAAATAGATCTCAAAGTGCACTTCTATTAGAGCAAATACGGTATTAGGAATGGTTTGAATTTTTAGGTCAAAAAATACATAACTTGAGATAATTTTTTTAAATTCTGATAAGCCATAATTTTGGTAATTTTCAGTCTTTTTAATTGAAATATACACCAAATGAAACCTGAATAAAATTTCTACATTTTGATATAATTTTTAACTTTTGATCTATTGAATATAGTGCCCTTCTATTAGGATGTTTACGGTGTTCCCACAGCATAAAAAATCACCTGATCAAACTCAGCAAACTTTCCGGCTCTAAAGAACACTTTGGTGTTTCCAAACTGAAAATCGTGCGAATCCAGACCCAACGCACGGAACAAGCATTTCGAGAACATTCTCGGATCCAAACGTGCCAAACTCGGTGGCAGACTCTTCTCATACATTGAATACAAATCGGAAAACGACGTACGACTCGGGAATCCTTCCTGCATCAGACGAAGCACCGACGCCATTCCGGCACATTGAAGCTGTCCGAGAATCGCCGAACCATCAAACTGCCACGCTTTCATTTGGCTGTTCGGTTTGACACAACGAACGAAATGGGTACCCTGGAATTAGGAGAAAAAAAGATAGATAATCAAATGTTATTGGGAGGCTTGCCGTGTTATTCAGTTTGTCGAGAAGAGACGATAATTGAGATTTGAATTTGGCGCCAACGCTGACAGCTTTCAGGCGACCGCCCGTTTTAACTGCACCAGTGGAGGATTCATTTTGGAATAGGGCAACAATCAGGGGGAATCTGAAAAACGTCTTATAGAGCCCAAAACTTCAATTTCGAAAGTTTTCAAAATTATTCTTTGGCGCCGGGCCAAGGAGCTCTAAAAAAACGTCCTATCATTGTCGGCCACCCTGTACAGTAATCTGAACATTGAAAAAACGAACTTTCTCAAAGCTCTGTATATCAAAATTTTGAAAAGCTCTAACTTTTGACTTAAAATTCCATTTTCTGAAAAAAAATTATATCAAAATGCAGGAAATTTTTTCAGCTTTCATTTGGTATACATTTCATTTGAAATGGCTCAAAATTAGAAAAGTTATGGCTTATCAACAAAAAAACTTAAAAATTCCAAAAACTCACGATGATTGCTCAATGAGCATTTCCAACGAATTGTGCAGCTGATCGTTATTCTTCTCCACGAAATATCTCGTCTCATAGCAAACAGTTCCAGCATAATGTCGAATCAACAATCCCTCATCATCTCTCATCTCTCTATGAGACTTGACTTTCGACTTGCGCGGTGCATCCAAACGGAAGTGTCCCTTATTCGATTCATGAGCTCGTTGAGTGAAGTGCTGGAATGTGGCACGTGGCAATTTTGCCTCCTCATCAAGTAGATCAAACAATCCACATGGCTTCTTCTCAAACAGTTCAATACAGTCTTGATTGTCCGAGAATTCAATCTTCTGGATGTTGAGACCTTCCGATTCGTACATCTCTTGTTCTTGCTTCAGAATCCGCTCGTTGAAAAAGTGTTGAAGTTTCTCATTGCAGAAATTGATGCAGAATTGTTCAAAAGAGTTGACAGCAAAGTATTGAAACCAGCCACATCCAATACTCCAATGTATGCAGAACTCTTCTCGAATGGGATACTCTTATTGATTTGAGCCACCAACCAATCAAACAATTTCGAATAAATCGCTTTTGCCAGTGCATCTCTTCCAGCTGCCGCTTCGTAAGCCTTCAATGGAACTCGAATCAATGTACCCTTGACGCCTCCTTTCGTTGCTTGCATGATTCTTGCACACAGTCCCATTCTCAATTCTTCTGGCTCCAAACCCAACAATTCAGAAACACTCATCAATGAATTCTCCGCGTCTCCAGTGATCCGACATCCACCACGACTATCATTCGAATTCTCCTCAAATTCAATATTTCCAAGATGAAGGATTCCAGCGATCGTCGACCAAATGAACATCTTCTCTGAATTTCCAAGTCCAGATAGTCCCAATGCTTTCTCGAGTTTTGCAAAATCATCGATATCACTGATAATCGAATCAGATACGGTATCGGTTTCCGAGAAACGATCCGAAGCGATTTTCGGTGACGATTTTGAGTTGGCGAAGAACATTGTTGCACCGTGTTTCAGGTACTGCAAACAAGTCATATTCGGCTCTGCAAATACGCTCCATTGAACTCACATTAAACTTGCTGGCTGGCGCCAATCTCAATTTCTCATACAAATCTGGTGATGCGCCAGCGATGAGTTGATAGAAAATGTGATAGTTTCTCTCTCCAGATGACTGACGACACACACGAGACGTCTCCAGCAAGTAGTGTGAAATGAATCCACCGGCAACGGATCCCTAGAAACGTTTAGGTAAAATTACAGCAGTCCGTAAATTATCATAACTACAGTAACTCTCAATTTTCTAAAATTACAGTAATCCAAAGAATCACAAAACTGTAGTAACTGAGTTTGAAAAATTACAATAGTACAAAATACTACAGTAATCCCTGAATTTCCAAAACTACATTAATCCGAAAATCCAGGGAATTACAGTCATCGAACGTTTCAAAAATCTACAGTAATCCTAAATTTTACAGAACTACAGTAATCCAAAATCCACAGAAGTACAGTAACCACTGAATTTCCAAAACTACATTAATCCTTCACTTTCCAAAAGTACTGAAAAACGCGAATTCGCAAAACTTCAGTAACCCTCCATTTTCAAAAGCTACAGTAGTACAAAATATTACAGTAGCCCTCAAATTTCCAAAACTACAGTAACCCTCCGTTTTCCAAAGCTACAATAGTCTGAAAATTTCACAAAATCAAAGAAACTACAGTAATTCTGATTCATAAAACTACAGTAGTCTCGAATTTCACAGAATTTCGGTAACTCTCAAATTTCCGAAACTACAGTAATCTGAAAACCTCACGAAACTGCAGTAACCCTTCAATTTAAAAAATACAGTAAACTAAAGTTTTCTAAGATTACAGTAATCCTTCACTTCCCAAAACTACAGAAATCCGAATCTTCACGGAACTACTGTAGCTCATAAATTTCCAAAACTGCAGTACCCCAAACTCACACTCTCCGAGAAATGGATCTGCACAAATTTTCCGAATCGACTCGAATTGTTGTTTCGAAGCGTTTTCGCATTTCCGAACGCCTCCAAAATTGGGTTGGCTGAATTTTCAAAAAATTTATCTAACTCTCCATAGAGCACTTTTGCTTACTTTCCAAAAGTCTCTGTTGAATCGGTCCCGCTTCCGAACCCCAATTTTCACACAAATATTTGAGTACAGCTTTTTGGGATTCAGTTTTTCCGGCACCAGATTCTCCAGAGACGATAATCGATTGAGACGTTTTATTTCGACGCATTTCACGATAAGCTTTGTCGGCGATCGCAAAAATGTGCGGCTCTTTTTGACCCAAAGATTTTCCACGATACTCTTTGATTGTTTCAGACGAGTAGAGATTATCAATCAATTGATATGGATTGATTGAGATCAGAATGTTGGCGACATACGTCTGCAAAAAGCATTCTCATTGGAGCGCATTTTCTTCTTATTTATTTTGAAAACCCACATAAATCTTGCCATTTGCATATCTCAAACGGCAGTTATTGAGCAAAGTGGCTTCGTTCAAATGAACCAATGCACAATTATCCTCAACCGATTTCGTCGGATCCTCCTCACATGCGAACGTCTCCTCGTAGCGACGAGTCACCGTTTGATTCGTGGATTCTGTTGTCAACTGGAATCCATTATGAGTGATATCCGTGATTCGTGCCGCCACGAAGCCATCGACGTCATCTGAAATCCAAACGAGCCGTCCGAAATCCGCTGTGCTATGTGTGCTACTCTCCATCTCTTCTCGAGGTTGTTTGTTTCTGTAAAGAACGCTCTATTGCAAAAAATATAATATTTTTAAAATTTAATGCTCAACATTTTTTTTTTGACAACTTTTAAGCATCTTCTAAACTGTGTGAGCTACAATCTTTTGAAAATCGTAGACCTCAAAGAGCCACAAATCGAAATTTGAAGATTTACAATTTAATTTCGGTTATAGCTATCAAAAAGTTGTAAATTACAAAAATGTGTGAAATTGTATTCTCTACAATTTTTATGTTAACAACTTTGAAGCATCTTTCCAACTGAGCGAACTACAAGCGTTTGAAAATTGCAGACTTAAAAAAACTTTGGGGGCTTACAACTAAAGGTTGAGCTATCAAAAAGGCCTTAACTACAAATACATATAAAATTTAATTTTCTACATTTTTTTAGTTGACAAGTTTTCAACATCTTTCTAACTGAGCATGCTGCAAACGTTCTACATCGCAGACCCCCTTTTGGGTGCTTCTACACGTGCTTTTGGGTGCTTCTTTGGGTGCTTCTGCGCGCAGAGAAGTCAGAGATTCTAACATTTCTGCGTCTCCATTGGTGCCTTTTCAGCCTTAGCAAGAAGTTGTAAATTACAAAAATGTGTAAAATTTAATTCTCTATAATTTTGCAGTTAAACTTTTTTTTTGCTCCATGTGAACTAAATAAGCTACAACCGTTTGAAAATTGCAGACCCCAAAAAAATTGCCAAAGAAACTTTGAAAGGTCATATCTCCATTTTAATCATAGATATCTGAATGATGTAAACTGCAAAATGTGTAAAATTTAAAGTTATACATTTTTTATATTAACAACTTTTCAGCATCTTTTCAACTGAGCAGGCTGCAATCGTTCTAAATCGCAGACCCCCTTTTGAGTGAGCCTGAGAGAGTGCAGAGAAGCCAGAGATTCTAACTTCTCTACGTCTCTTCAGACCTAGCAAGAAGTTGTAAACTACAAAAATGTGTAAAATTTGATTCTCTATAATTTTGCAGTGGAACATTTAATTGGATGATTTGAAATAAGTGAGAGCTACAACCGTTTTAAAATTGCCGACATAAAAAAAAGTGCTAAAGAACCTTTGAAGGTTTACAACTGAATTTTGGTTATACCTATCAAAAAGTTGTAAACTACAAAAATATTTAAAATATAAAGTTCTACATTTCTTATGTTAACAACTTTTGAGCATCTTTTTAACTGAGCGAACTACAAGCGTTTGAAAATTGCAAACTTAAAAAATTCACTAAAGAAACTTTGGAGGCTTACAACTAATGGTTGATCATAGCTATCAAAAAGGCCTAAACTACAAAAATATATAACACTTATTTTTGTACATTTTTTTAGTTGAAGACTTTTGAGAATCTTTCCAACTGAACGAACTACAAGCGTTCTTAAGCGCAGACCCCCTTTTGAGTGCTTTTACACGGGAGAGAGCGCAGAGAAGCCAGTGATTCTCACTTCTCTGCGTCTCTTATCAATTTTACCTCTTGCAAAATGTTTTTGGTGTCAGCAGGGGAATTGTTTATGACTGATGTGTTCGTGGAGCCGTCCGAGACGAGCTGGAAAGTGGGCGGAGCCTAAGATACGTAGAATTTGAGAGCCGACGGGTTCACGTGAAAAATTGAATGGAAATTAGGTGTCGAAATTACGAATGCATTCGTTTTTTGGAGAGAAAGATTCGAAAGTACGCTCTATTGCTAAATGTATGAGAGCAATATAAAAGCTAGTTATTAGAGCGTACTTACATAAAAGACTCAAAAGGTTACAAAATATCAAGTTTCTGGCCAAATATATGTACTGAATAATAAAGGGCATAAAATATTCAACCAGCATCATTACTACAAACAATTGTGAGCAAACAGACTTGTACACAAAACGGGCGGTTCTCTTGAAAAACCCCAAAAATATAAAAGTATCATATATAATACTTTTGAGATCCCATATGACAAAATAAATACTAGAAAACGGAAAGAGGAACATTCGGGAAGGAAAGAATACGATGGGAGGGAAAAACGAAATCGTGGAATCGAGGTCAACTATGAAAGAATAAAAGTGAGATTTTATGATGTGTCAATTTGTATAGAGAATTGTTGCATTAAACTTTTCCCTCAAAAGTCAAGATACCGTAAACACCTGCCTTTAACTTTGAGCCCATATAGCTCATTTTTTGTAAAAGATATCAAAAAGTGGTCAACTGACAAAATGTTTGTTATAATATCAAAAACATTTTGCTAGTTAATTACTTTTTGATATCTTTTGCGGCAACCGAGATAAATTTGCTCAAAGTTAGGAGTGTCATTTTATTAGTGTGTTTACGGAACTTCCATTATTAAGGCCCTTGAAAACTAGCTTAAAACATTCAGAATGATCTGAAACTTTGTCAGAATTTAGAACAAAAACAGAGATTCATTTTTGCAGTTGACAACTTTTTTGTATAATTTGATCCTGAGAAGATATGCCATGTGGAAGTGTCGGTACCTCGATGCGCCGCCGCCACTAGTGCAGTTGGTGCTCTTTTCCACGTGGCATATCTTTCTCTTCAAGGAGAAAAGCTACAAAAAGTTGTCGACTGAAAAAATGAAGCTCTACTTATGATTTGTACACTCTGAAACTTTCAGGCAAATTGGACCATTATCAATTGCGTTTTCAAACATTTGAAGTTTACTGATTCGTTATCAGTTTTTTTTTTCATAATTTGAACGGGATTTGCAATTTATTGACTGAAATTGTGTAAAAATTGGAATTTTTCAAAGCATTTGTATTTTTAATTCCAGTAGGCATTTTGATTTGAACAAGTTATCAATAGAGCGCAACACCAAGAGAATAAAGTTCAAATTTCAAAAATTGTAGAAGCCTCTGAAGTATACTCTACATGTCAAATGAACAGCAAAAAGTGCAATATTTAGAGGAATGACAATAAAAGGGAACGAAAAAAAGGGAAAAATTGGAAATCGAGCACTGCAATATCCGGTTCTATTCCCTCTAAAACGTCGTCAACAATTTCTTTCTTTCTCTCTCTCTTTTCCTCGTTTTTTTGTGCTTTTTCCCGAGACCCCGTATGGAGGAAATGAGCCTGTGTGTCGGAGGAAAGAAAGGAGCAAAAAGTATTCAGAAGAAAAAAAGAAGCTTCTGTGTTTATGGTGTCCCTTCTCCCTCACTCTATCTCCTCACCATTTTCTTTCTTTTTTTCGCCAAACTCATTTGTGAAGATTTCGCAATTTTCCCCTCTATTTTTTCCCTTTTTTTTCCTCGTCTAATTCTCTTTTTATGGCTTTCAAGCTCCAAGTTTCCGACCCCGTTCGGTTTCCAATAAATAGAAACAATACTAAATATGTGCGGCGCGATTGCGAAATGGCGTGCGGCGGGATGCAAATGGGTGGAGTCGGTGATCTGGAACTATTTTTTCGATGGTTTCAATGCTTTTTCAGCGTATTTTCATAGAAAAAAGATAATTTTCTTCATATTTTTAAAAGAAACAGTCGATTAGTATATTTTTGTTCTATAAAATTATAAAAAATCAATTTTCATCGACGAAAACAAGGAAAGATTAATTTTTCCCAATATGCTTCTTTTTTTCGCTTCTCATACCGTTTTTTTTTCGCTTATAAATAGCTCAATTTTTTTTAATTTGCATTTCATTTTTTCTATCTTTGTTATATTCCTTCTCATTAATTTTACTAATTTCAGATGGCCAGTGGTGTCGCCTCCGAAGCACTCTCCAACCCAAAGCGATGGGTCGTCATCTATCCAGCCTACATCGATAAGAAGAAGACGTCGAAGCAGGGACGCAAGATTTCGAAGCTTTTGGTGAGTTTTTCCTTTATTCGAAATGTTTTTCCTTCCTAAAACCCATTTTCAGGCCGTCGAAAACCCAACGTCCGTAGAGATTCACGACGTGCTCGCCGCCGTTGGTTTCAATCCGCTACTGGAGAGAACGAAGTGCTATCCACGAGACGGAGAGCGCGACTTCGAAGTGCAAGGCCGCGTGCGGGTGCAGTTGAAGAACGATGATGGAACGCCGAAGCATACACAGAAGACGAGTGAGTTTTGAATTTTTCTATAAAATTGCATTACTGGTTTTCCAATTCTTCCAGGAGACGAAGTATTCAAAATGGTTGCCGAGATGATTCCAAAGCTGAAGACACGCCAACCCGGATACACACCACAAGCAGCTCCGACGAGTTCGGCAGCCGGAGGGAAGAAGAACAAGAAGAAGAAGTAGATATATGTATAGACTTTTATTGTTTTCTTTTCTTTTCTTACAACTCGTGATATTCCCTATCTATATGTAAAATTCAATTCTAAAGTTAATTTATATATGAAAAATGTGTTTTCTAAACACGGGAGGTGTCCCGGCGGTGAAACGTCGCAATCGATTGCATGGGTCTCGATACGATTCACAGGCAAAGGGACCATTCAAATCCTCATTCCATCCATTCATCAAAAAAAAACACTATAATCTTCTTTTAAAAAATCAAACTTTTAACATATCCCTCTGTAGTGCAGGATATGATATTCAATATTCTAAACTATTCTTCCTGAGTTTTGCATCGGGAAAACGGAAAATCTAATTAAAAAATTTGATCATGGTGTTAAAAACATTATCTTTCGCTATGACACACATTGGAATTGTGATTTTGTCTGAAAATGGACTAGAAATCGTTAGTGATATGGTCAATCCAACAGGTTTAGATAAGAACCAATTCAGGTTAGTTCTGGAAGAGAAAACTCCCGGTGTTTTTGCTTATAATTCGTTTTTGCTATTTATTCAATTTTGCTTATAATTCGCTTGAAAGGCTTAAAAAGCGCTCAGAAAGCTGGATAAGTCTTTTTTTAGATTTTTCAAATTTTTTCGGGAAAAATAACAGAAAAACCTGCAAAAATCAGTAAGAAATGAGAAAATAAAAATATTTTGAGATTACTGTAGTTTTCGTTGTGGGACTTTCCGATTTTTCATCGAATAACAAAACAAGAAAAACATTAGAACGTGAAATATTGTACAAAACTAAAATAAAAGTATATTTTCGTAGAGAGATTCATTTAGTGTGCGTGGGCGGGGCGAAGTAGGAGAAGTAACAGTAAATAGATCGTTAGAAAAAAGGAGCACAGATGTTGGGACAAAGAAATCTCTGGTTGACTAATCCATCAATTTCAAAAACTCTTCCTCTGTTTTGTCCCAAACTCCAAAACTGAATTTCGATCCTCGAATCAGAATAGATGCCACACGATTATTGTCGGATTAAAAAAAGTGACACCTGAAAATCTCGGAGACGGCGCTCGTGTCGATTTACGAGGGGGCGGAGCGAAAACGGATACTGTAGATAACAAATTTATTCATGTGAATTTAGTGGGGTTTTCTGAACAAAATTTTGATTTCTTGATATAAAAGTGATCGCTAGCATCTCTAGAAACTATTTTTAAGCAAAAAACTAAAATTAAACACGAAAGTAGCTCGCACAAGGCGAAAGTCTGAAATATTACGTTTTTGCCGCACTTTTTCGTAGATCAAAAAAAGCAAAAGGTTTCAAATTCTCAGGTGTCACTCTTTTTAATTGGACAATATCCGATTTTCTAACGACGTATGTGTGGCTAGTGATTGGTTCCGTATTTGGGTCTCCGTCATAACATATGTGTCTTAAAAAACAAATATGTTCTTCAAATTATTATTAAAGGTGGGGGGACAGGAAATTTTTCGGAGGATTTTTGGAGCCAGAGTATGCATTCTACCGTAACGGCGTACAACGCTTCCCGTCACTCGGCGTACAGCGGTTGTCCTCACCCTTATGTTCACCAGCTGGGGGCTATTTCGAGGGTGGTACCAAAGATGAGAACTCGACAAATGAGAACTGCTACATATAAGACCTAGAAAATAGGAACTCAGTTAACCGGCTCTAATTTCCGGCTCAGGATCCAACTTTTTTTGAAAAATATTTTCATGTGGTCTCGTTCTTCACAATACTTCAAGATTTTCCAAAAAAGTCCCTGTTTTGTCACGCACAAGTTCTTATTTGTATCAGTTCTCAGTTGTCATCCCTGCTACCACCATTTCGAGAACATTATTTTTTTTCGTGCCCCCTTTAAAGTAACTTACACATTGGGCAAAGTGTGCGCTGGTGGTTGTTTTGTTTCATCAATATATGTTGCCCCAATTGCATTCAGAATTTGGTTTTGGCGAAATTCGCCATTCAACCACTTGAGCTTCAAATATTCCAGTTTTTGAAATGCATCTCCTGATTTCCATCTATGCACAAATTCTACAACATCTGAAGTTTCGTGTCTCGTGCTTTCTATATAAGCCTGTCTTCCATTAAAATGGCGCAAAACTGCAGGAAAATCGTGATGAGGTTGGTAGAGTTAGTTCCATTGATTCTGCCTGATAGAACTTTGATTCCGGACTGAATGGGTGTAATGCCAACGCAGAGTTCACTCGAATTCATTTAAAAACAGGTGATGAGAAGAAAAAGGTTTCAAGTTTTTCCATTCCCGACAAATGCCGAGAGCGGTGAAGAACAATACAGTAGGCAGGGCCTCGCGGAAGGGAACCTAGATTTAAAAATTGGAAAGCGCGCCAAGTTTGAACGCGTAGCGCGGTCGCGTCGCGGCTTTTCGGTGAGTAGCGACTCAACAACGTTCAACTTTACGTTTTTTCAAAACACGTTTCAAAATTTTCGAAATTTGCGTTTTTCAGGTTCCCAACCGCGATGGCGTGAGTATGATACGTTTTGGAGTTTAGAGAATAATACTGCATTGAATTTCCGAAGAAATCGAGAAAATAATTATGGATCGATTTCATTATAGACTGTTTGTCACAATCGTGAAAACATAGTATGGATGACCGTTGCTATAACACATTCTGAAATAATGATATTTTAATGACTCTTTCCTCATCGTGACTCACTAAAAACGGAGAATCTTTCCAGACACATTCAACTGGAAATTATGATATCCACCATTCGCTTCTTCGATCTCTTTCATTAATTTGTTCCAGTTCTTGCAATTTACCATTTCCAATATAATGTCCCAATTGATGGGAATATAAACCAACGATGAACCTAATTTTTCACGGTCATACCTGATAGAACTGATACTTTTGAATCTCTTCTCTTGGGTCAATTTGATGAATTTTTTCATATTTTTTGAAACAAAAGAAAGCATGAATAGTTCGGAATATTCCATGTCGTGAAGTATCTCATTTTGGACCAAATACGGATACTTTGATAGAATCATTTGTTCTGAAAATATTGAAAAAAAATGCGGAGTAATAAGAAGGGTGGTCAGAGAAAGGGATTGAGATAGATGATGAATAATTACAGAAGGAACCTTTTACGATGACGTGGTAGATGGTCTAAAAGAGACACAAGACATTGGGTGTCCAATGATGTGTGTAAAGGAATGCCCTTGACTGGTGAGCATCCTCTCTCCTTTGTCCCAAAAGGGGGATTAGTACAGTGCATTGGAGGTTCATAAGTACACCTAGTTGTTCGGTATTACCTTGAGAATCAAAAAAGATATAAATCTAATTTTTTTGAAAGCACCAAAATGACAAGAGACTTTTAACTTTGGAAATTTGATAAGCTTTGGTGTTGTACCCTTCCATTTTAATTCTATCAGAACATGGATATTCTCAAATTTATTCAGATATGGGTTTGGTAACAAAGAAAAAGGTATGAATTAGAAAAGAGCATAAAGAAGAGTTAGGCACGGCTACTCGTCCTGGCGGCTGATTCCCGTCTACTCTATGACAGAACAAAAAAAAAAGACAAGACCATCTTCAACCCTGAAGTCAAAAACCATTATGTTTGAAGTCGTGTGAGATGAATCTTGGAGTCAGTGTACAGTTTAAAGAGCTATGGTAAATAATGTGTAAGTGAACTTTCATTTGATAAAACTCTCTAGCCTTTTTGTAGAGAATTTTTGTAAAGAAGGGGAGGGACAAAGTAAAAGAGATAACAATGAATTTACTGATGCTTTGAAAACTCTGATTCTCTGGTTCAAAAAATTCTAATTTCTAATAACGATCGGGAGATCTCAATTAACTGTGCTTGCCGTAACACTCTATAATGGCCCTTAACATTTAAGACACAATCTCTGAGAAACTCGAAAACACCATGGCAATGGAAAAAATGAAAATGGTCCTAGGAGTCTGATATTGTATGTGGTGGGTATAGGGGCTACTCTAAGCTTTTTGCCCATGGTACTCATAGACCACGCCCCCTCCTGGCCGCGATATAATAACGTAACCCCGAAAAATTAATTTCGTTCAAAATAATGATATCAACTCAAATGTTTCAGATTTTTGTTCCTGGTACATTTTTGATCATTTTTTGTGTTGGGACCAATTTTCTACAGTAACCCGGAAGTAAAGAAAATTTTACTTTTTTGAATTTTCTTTCACTTTCATTTCGCGCCCAGAATGGGGCGTGGCTTATGGGTACTATGGTCAAAAGTCTTAGAGTAGCACCTATACCCACCACATACAATATCAGACTCCTAGGACCATTTTGGTATTTTTCCATTGCCATCGCCTGTTGACCCGATCTCAATTCTCTCAGAGAATGTGTCTTAACTTTGAGCCCATATATTTCACTTTCTGTAGAAGACATAAAAAAATGGTCAACTGATAAAATGTTCATCATATAATCAAATATATTTTGTCAGTTGAAAACTTTTTGATACCTGCCACAGGAACCGAGATATACGAGCTCAAAGTGCAGTTCCATTAGAGCATTTACAATTACTTTGAGCCAAGTTATCTCGGTTCCTGTAAGAGATATCAAATTTTTGTCAACTGATAAAATGTTTATCACAATGTCAATAACATTTTATCAGTTAGCGACTTTTTGATATCTTTCATAGGAAATGAGATAAATCGGCTCAAACTTGCAGTTAAGGGGGAGGATCATTCTAGAGTTTACGGTCATTTGAATTTCAAGATGTTTACAGGAAAACCAATTGCTCTGTTCAGCGTTTTACACGAAGGATAACGAAGAAATTGATTTGGGAACTGTGTGAGAAGTTATCACTGATAACGGCAAATGATTGAAGTAGAAGATAGAAAAGGAAGGACATCTGATGACGTGGCAGATGATCAATGAGTTTACTCCTTGACTGTTAAATTGATTTGATGAAGGCGTCTTGTCAGTTGAAATCGGAAGATCCTGAATCTTTGAAAAAAATCACAATAAACCCCTAATTATAGACTTGTTGTTTTCAGCCCAATTTTCGTCAAGGCAAAAACAATTTATGTATAAAATCCAAAAATATGAAATGTACTTTTTAGAAAAATCGAGGAGTAGTTTTTAGAATGTTATGGCATTTTAAAAGAGAGAGAGAGACAAAATAATAATAGAACTAAAACTGGATGGAAGAGAAGGGGGAACCGAGGCGCATTCCTGCTCTTTTGTGAGAGGGAGAGAGATTTTCTTAGATTTGGAATATTCAAAAAAACAAAAAAGTGGGTATCGTATTGCATTAAGATAACAGGATTTGAACGAACAGCTAACCGATTTGGAGAAGGAAAGGGAATCTATGGATGGGATGGGATCAAATGAGAATCGATTCAAATTTCACGATATTTTGGAATAAAAAGAAATAAAAAAGATTAAATAGTGTGTAAGAGAAATAGCTATCACAATAAAAAAACATGGCTAGGCGATTGGCTAAAAATCAGTATTCGATATCGTACATCTCCTGGTTGTATCCACTGAATCCGAGGCTCGTTTCGTAGAGTTGGATGTCGCCGAACAGCTGAGACTCCTCGTACTGGTTGACGGCGCACGCGTCGAACAAATCGTCACGCTGGAAAAAATGGGAATTCAGATGAATTGGAAAGACTACGGTATTCTGAACCTCTTCCATAGTCTTGTGCCTGTTCTCCGGGATCGAGAATCGCTCCAATTTCTCGTTTCCATCGTTAAGACAGTATTTGGTGACCAACACACGACAGATCTCCGGGTTCAGTGCACGGTAGCCAGTGTCATGAATCAAATGACCCAAATGGTAGGCGGTCTGGAAGAACTTTCTGTTTGAGGGGTTTTCCTAGGCCATCACTCACTCTTTGGCGCATAAAGTCCGACTCGTCCTGAAGATATAGCATGACGGCTGAGATGATCTCTTTGTCAGATTCCGTGTAGGAGAGTTTCGATGGGATGCGACTGACGAACATGCCACCGAGATCCAGAGCAATCTGGAATACAAGATTCAGTCTACAGGTGGGATCCAGTCCGCGGCCAAAACCAACCTGTTTAGTTTCCGGATCATCCAGTTCGTAGCTCTCACGGATCCACGAGATGAGCTCGTTGTCCGGATACAAGCAGCCTCCGTATCTGATCTTTGTCGCGTACGCCATAGTAGATGGGCTGTAAAAGGGGCATGACTTAGAGATCACAGAAAAAAGACCTTACAGCGTCCACGAATGGTCTGGAGTGTCGAGATGCTTCTCAATGGTTTCCACGGCTTTCTGCATATTCTGCTGACTCATGAACTCGTCGGTGGTGCATGTGAGGATCTTCATGATCTGTAGGAATCGGAATTCTTAGTATTTATTGAAAATAGAATATCTCTTACTCGTTTCGCATCGCACTGAACGGTCTGCAGTGACGCCAAATCCATGATGGCAATGTTGATGACGTGAGCACGGAATAGCTGGAAAAAGTTGATTAACGAGCTGAAAATTGAATGGAACCTGCTCACCATAATGCACGCATCCCATCCCTGCTTGTAAATCGTTCTGTACAACTCGCGTCGAGTATCATAGGAGCGCAAATGATGGCACATCTCCGACTTGAAGGCGTCACGATCTCGCAAAAGTCGCACAGCAATCGGGCGTTTCGACAGAACCGCCTTCGTCAAATCCACGTCATCTACATCGAAGTTGAGCCCGAACGAATTGGCAATGGTGAGCAGTTGGTTGATGGTGAAATCGCACCAGCCGCGGAAGACGAGACTTTCCAGAACGTGCTTCACCACTTGTAACATCCGATTGAAGTATTCCCCGTAGTTTCCGAGGCCTTCAACGATTAGAAGGAAACTGTGTAGCTGGTTTTGGCTTGCGTTCTGAAACTTCTTTATGAAATTAAGCAAACAGCGAGCTTCTCACATCAAACTTAAACTCCTGTACCCATTGAGACAAATCAGCTTTCGCGTAAACATCGGAAATCGCTAGAATCGCTGCAACGGCGTGAGCTCTAAGACTTTCATGTTTCTCACGAAGAGCGATTCGAAGAAGTGGTGGAATGAATGGTCCCAACGGGTAGAGATCAGTAGACGAAGGAGGTGTATACAGATGGGTCAAAACCACTAGTGGTGGAAGAAGTGAGAATTCCGAATGATTCTCGTGGTTCTCAATTTGTTCGTAGAGGAATCTATAGAGTGTTGGGAATTTCGAGAAGAACTCGTAGTTCGATTTTCGATTCTTTCCATCAACTTGCAACGATCGTTGAGCGGATCTCATCACACCGAAAATCTTGGTTCGAAGAGCGGCAAACAGCTGAGAAGCCGCGTTTCGCTCACTCCAATCCGCTCGACATGCATCAATTGCCACTTTCAGACATTGCTCGTAGCAGTAAACGATTCTCTCGTGGAGTTGTGAACTTTGAATGAGCACTTTCATCACATTCATCGAGTGGACACGATACATCACTGTCTTTCCATCCATACTCAACAACGAGCTCGTTGCTTTGAAAAGAGCAGCATTTTCATTGCTTCTAGGCTCAGTGGAAACAATTGAGTGAACCAGATGCGGGAGTCCAGCACTTCGTCTCGTCGAGCACAAATTCGTGAGATCTTGTTCGCCACGTGTCGCTGCGAGAATCTCATCCAACCAGGTTTCTGGCTTCGGAAGGTCTTCGATATCGGTGGTCCACAGGAATTGACAGAGTTGGGTGAATCCTTCGGTGGCCGATTCGAATGCTCCACGATGTTTGCACTCGGTCAGCTGTGTCCAGTAGAATGTACCAATCGCTTCGATTTCTTCCTTTGAGACTATTTTCTTCGGGGCGAGCTGGAAAAAAGGATAGTTTTCAGGAAAAATGATACGTTGTTTGTAGTAAAATTTACCACTTCAATAATCCACGAGAAGATTCCGGAGACGTGCTTATGTGCTCTCCAACAGCACACAAGAAGGTGCTGAGAGAGCTCGGCGAGTCGATCAGTCGTCGTTCCATACATCTCATTGAGCATCTCGTCCGGAATGTATCCTTCTGGTGACATGTTATGAACGACAGGACTCACAATTGCAACGATTCGATTGCAAATGGGAAGCAACTCTTTTAGAATATCCTCTTTGTAGAATGCCAGCTTAGCCTCTTCTGAATTTTGCCACGTGGCGTTTTTGAGAAGAAGCTCGATCATATTGAGAATGGGATGCACTGGAAGGGAGGTGATGAGCATAAGTTCTTTTTCAGCTCCGTTGGCTCTCTCGTTCAAGTCCTGTAGGAATCTTCGCAAGCATGCTGTGTATCTCTCCGGCTGTCTGGCAAGATAGTACTGCATTCTGAAGACAGCTGATGTGGAATTTCGAGATCTAGTTGACGTCATCAGCTCCAACGCGTCGTTCAGATAATTCTCCTCGTTCATCTTGATATTTCCAAAGTCTAGCTTTTTGAGAAGACCCAATGCGGTATTCTGAACAAGATCGTACGAGTCATCAAGGCAATCCATCACGAGTTTATGACGATCTGATCCCAACGTGCTGTCCAAATTCAGTCGATCCGCGAATAGCTGTTTTCCATCGGTGATAAAGTTCTCACGATTGAATAGCACATCGATCTGTCCTAAACCCATAATTCGTCTGTAGTAATTGGCTTTCGATGAGATCGATTCAAATGCCAACTTGGCCATCCATTTCGCCAGTTGGATGTAAGATTCGGGAATCGGATGAATCCACAGATCCTTGCCCAGTTTGTACTTCAGCGTGTTGGAATTCTCAAGACTCGACGAGTCAGGGCTGAACGAATCCGAGTCTCTATCCTGTGGTTGTGGCATTTTGAGATACGACTCAGCCGATGCTCCGAGCCTTTGACACATGAATTTGTAGGCCGCCAGGAGTTGCTGACGGTTGCTGGGGCTTTGAATGGGCATGTTGGAAGCGAGGAACGTCTTGATGTACTCGATATCCTGCTCATTGAACGCGATCGTCTTTCTCGGATTCTCCACGACAAGTCTGAATGCTGCCAGCCGGACGTCGGTTTCCACGTGGACGATCGCTGCGGACATGGTTCTGTCTGTGATGCATTGACTCCAGTTGGAGAAATCGACGAGGTTGGCTGGCTGATCATTGTCCTTTCCTTGCTTTCGTGGCCACGTGGTACAGACAAGAGCATGGACGATTTCCAGCTGGGATTGCAGATCACTGGGTGGGTTGTTTGCTAGAAAATGGTTTTTTTAGAATTGTGCTTCTGGAAAAGAAACTTTACAATTCAATTGAATCAGCAAATGATTTAAGAACTTGACAGCTGTATCCGATTCCAACGGCTTCTGATCTTTCTTGTTCCCACTATGGTACTTCTGGAGCAGTGGGATCAATCTAGACTTGATCAATTTCGCATCAGTAGTACTCAATAGCTCCTGACAGTGCATCTCCCAAAGTTCATCCCTATCAAAAATATTATCAACGATGAGTTGGAAAATAACCGATGAGAACGATGGATTCGAGATGAGCGGGTAGGTTCGAGCGAAGAAGTCTCTGCCAAGGTTGAGACGAAGTGTGGGACACTGGCCGACAAGATGCGAGATGCATCTGAAGCGAGAACGGCACAGCGACGTGGGTTCTAGAAGCCATTGAGTGATCTCGTTGATCCAATCGCAGTTGGCATGACTGTCGCCTGCAGGACGGTCTAGACACTCTTCGCATTGGCGGAGATGGATTTCGAGGAGTGTGGAGAAGGTGTCAACTGCATCGTGGCACACACGATCCGCCGAGTAGTCCCAAATGCGACGAATGTGGAGAATGATCGGGTTCCAGTACTGTTTTGGAAGCTCTGCGGTGGAGTTTCTGGAAAAAAGGGTTTTGAAAGATGCCTCTTTTCTGACTATACTAGGTTTCTACTCACTGATAAATAATGAGAATACGCTTCATGGTGGCAGAAGCGAACATGACGGTGTCGTTGTCACTCAGAAACGTTTCCGATGCCTCCAGCGTCCGCTCGATGTGACTGTGCATGGCGGGCGGTTCGCCATCGAAAAGTTCCGATAGATTTACCTTCGAATGAAGATACTCCAGGTCGCGAATGGCTTTTCCAGCCACTCGGACAGGCATCTCTGCAAAAAGTTGGTTAATTTTCTTTGGTGATTTTCAGTGGTTTTCAGCTGTTTTCCGCTATCAAAACCAAGAAAAAATCGTTGAAATCAGTCTAATGTGACGAAAAGCATGGGATAGGGAGAGAAAAATTAGAGGAATCGATGGGGGGAATCAAGCGAAAACAACATTTTTGGGACGCAACATTTGAAGCTGTGATGCAAGCGCGCGCCGCTGGACTCAAAAATTTTCGCGGAAAAAAATTGGCTTTTTTGATGCGGATAAAGGTTTAGTGGCACGTTTTCGGTCGAGATTCTGACAGATTTTCTTCGAAATTTCTGCAGAGAATTTCGAGAAAAAGTGTCTAGGCAACATCACACACACACACACACACAAAATGAACGAACAATTCGCGAGGCGCGTGCAAAAGTTGATGAAAATCAACATGAAATGCGAGGTGCCTCCTGAAATCATATCTCGACTCGTCAATGACTCGATTGGTCTTGATAATCGTATCACTGGGAAATCGGACAAGGTAAAAAAAACATGGATTGTCGGCAGTTTTATGGAAGAGATTCGTTTTCAGGAGGTCATCGACATCCTAATTCTCAAAGACGACCAACATGACTCCAAATCCATAGGCTTAATGTATCATATTCTTACGAGTGCTGATAATTTAGAGCTTTATCAGAGGGTGGGTTTTGGTCTTTTTTTCGAAAATCAAAAAAAAATTAAATTTTCCAGATTATCCGATTCATCAACGGCGGTGGCGTGGAGTATTGGCACAATGTGCTCTGCAATATGAATATGATTCTTTTCGGTTTGAACAAATTTTTCACATTTTTTCAAAACTTCTAATTTCCAGAATGCTGGCCACACATACATCTGGCGTGTCGAGAGCAGCTGGTTCGTCTGATTCGAGAGGCGATTCGACAAAATGTGAAACAGATTGAGAATGTGCTCATGAACGCGTATAGAGTGGCGAATGGCTGTTTTGATAATGTATCGAAGCAGAGGATTTTTGCGAAGGTTTTTATGACGCTCCCAATCGGAAATTTATTATTTAGTTTATAGTTTCCTGCCTCAAAAGCAAACAGATAAATCAAAAATCTATAATAAATTTTTTACAGCTCGCCGCCATAATTCGTGAGAACGACGCCTGGTTCAAATCTCAAAAAGCAGCCGCTGCACTCGTTGGAAACATTATCACATGCACTACATCCGTTATCTCCTATACGCCAGCCCCAATTACCGCTTCAGACACATTCCGAGAATCTATGACGGATTTCGTCTGCTGGGTGATAAGGAATCGGAAAATGGATTGTTTAACACTAGGAAGAGATTTTATGTTGGTCCTTATTCGTCTTGGACGGCTACCACAAGTCGAGGAGATCTGGAAGGATATTCTAATGAATCCCTCTAGTTATGGAGTGGCTTCAACGGAAGACTATTGGGGAAAGAATCACTATCTACAACATGTTCGAATTAGTATCGAGTTGGAGAGGAAAATCATGTTTATGGTGCATAATGGAGGAAAGAACTTGTTGATTTATTTCTCTTGGTTCTCGAATAAATACTTCCGAGGGAATGATGGACCGGCGTTGAGGGCAGAGTGTGTTCGACACCTTCTGTATATGACGATGGATCCAGCGAAAGTGCCGCCAGCTGCGTTTGAAAATCGGATTCAGTTGCTGCATTTGATCGTTTCCACGGCGCCGGTGAGAATTGAAAAACAACATTTTTGCCTAAAAATGACAATTTTCCCTAATTTTGAAGAGTCTTGAGACATTTCTAATGCCGCTTCCTGGGATTTCTGGGTCTAGAAAGCGCCAAGCTTCCCAAGGTTTGCAATTCGCACAATCGAAACCAGTGCGACAGTACACCCCTATCGTTTGGAGACCCGCGCTGGTTTCAGCTGTGCGAATCGGAATTTTGGGAAACTGGGCGTCACTTTGGACTGATTTCTGAGCCCAGAAACCTCAGGCATAATGATGACATTATCCTAAAATAAGCTCATTTTTCCAGCCCGGCCCAGAACAACAATGGCTGAAACTCTGTCTATTTGCCGATTGGTTCGGTTGTGACGATAGGAATCCGACGAACTTCAACTACGTGGAACTACCCCTGAACGTTGTCAGATACGCCCTCTTCCTGTCTCCATCTACACCCCATCCCAACTCCATCGTTCAAGGCTCTCATTGCTCGCAATTTGCCAATTCTCTTCTGGAATATGTATGTAAATCGGTAGACGTTCTTCAACCATCCAGTGCCGAGTACATCCGTCGCAACGTCAACAATGCCATGAGATATTGTAGAGATAGGCTTCAACACAATCTTGCGCAGATTTTGGAGAACTCGAAAATCGACAGAAAAGTGTCCGAATTGCTGCGCGTCGTTTTCCCGGATTTTGTGAGGAATCCCAATGGAAGTTCATTGATAAGACCAGCTAAGAAGAAGGAAGATCAACCACCAGCTCCAATCACAAAGCCAAGAGCATCATCGTCAGATGAGAAGTCGTCGACCTCTTCTGCAACGCCTCCAGTGACTATTGACAAGCCTTCTTCATCAAATACCGATAGGTTACAAAAGGAGAAAGAGGACAAGGAAGATAAAGATTTGAAGTCGTTGGTAAAACTGTTGAGAGGGGAAATAGGTGTGAAAATGGAGGCGTTAAGAGCGCAATGGAAGGATTTGGATGATGATGCGGATAAGTGTGAGACGATTGAAGCCTTGTTACAGCACATGTTGAATACGGTAGGTGGCAAAAAGGTATCGCAACGAAAACTACCGTAACCTAATAATATATTTATTTTTCGAATTTATCAAATATCTCTTTTTTTTGGATGTTGTCTGTCAGGGAAAATAACAGAAAAATCGACGAAGAGCAGTGAAAATCAAATACCCTATTACCTGTATTAGAAGGACCGGTCCTTCTATTTTTCCAAGCCGCTCTCGGAGGGCCCTTCTATTAGAGGGGGCCCTTCCAGCTATTTTTCTCGAAATTATTCAAAAAATGAATATTTTTCACCGAAAAATGACATATTTTGAAGGGGCCCTTCTAATACAGGTTTTACGGTATATTCATTTTTAGGTTACGGTAGTTGTGGGACCTTCCACAGCTCCTTACCAAAAAATTCATTTTAGGAAGAAAACTTTGACGAAGCGCAACAAGATCTGGCTGCACAATGCCTTCAGGCTATTATGGGTTCTGTAGTGACCCCCGAACAATCATTGCTACCTGAAAAGGAGAAGGATCTATCAGAAGCGTTCACACATCCTGTCTACTCGTTTATGAAGATTCTCTGCTCCCCGCCGGATAACGATGACAACTCTCGAGAAATGCTAACGACAATGATGGCTGCAATGCGGGAGAAGGATTCATCGCTGACATATGTGCTCCTCTATTTCATCAAAGGAACCTATGGAACATCAGCGAATAAAGTGATATCTTGCTATCGAGATATTGCAAAAATAAGTGGTCGAGGTGTCGATGAGATGTTGGCCACGGATTTGCAATTGTGTGCTGTGAATGATAATCGATTGTTCGGTTATCTCTTCATCTTCTCATTTGTTCAATTCGAAAAGGAGGTCATGGAGAGTCCGATGCTAATGGCTACACTCTGTGCGAATCTAGACGCCTCTCAGTTGAGAAAGTTCCTTAGTGAGATTATTAGAGAGGAAATCAAACTGTTTCGCAAGGACACATTCTCCAAAATGCTCATGGAATCGGTGGAATGGTCGACAGCGGCACAATGGATCTTCTGGCATCTAGTGCACGCTGATGGCGTTCCAGTAGAGTGGTTTTTGAGTTGTGTGCCACGAATGGATTCTAAGATTCATGACGAGGCGATTTCGAATATGCTTCTGATGCTGAAAAGGATGGATCGGGAACCATGGCCCGGTCTAATTCGATCGATATTCCAACGGCTGCCTCAGAAGGATGATAAGTTCCCAATCGATGCGCTGAAAGTGCTTATAGAAGATTCGGATCAGTGTGGCAAAATCGCTGAAATCGTCTCCTCCCTACTCAAAACTCTAATATCGGTCAGCTTGGGGGGGGGGGGGGGCTCCATTGACAATTTACATTTCCTAATTTTTAGCAAAACGACATTCTGGGCGTCGGAATAAAATCCACCAAGAAGGGTCAACAATACAAGTTGACTGTGCAACAAGTCCTCGAACACCTTCAACACTTTAGTGCCACGTGTGTCGAGAAGAAGAACAAGAATACAGAAGCCTTCCTTGGCAAACATGTTATGCAGGAAGCATTTGCCAGTATTAGAGCGTAGGTTACAAGATCCTGATCCTGATAAAATCTATTTTGTAGAAACGAAAAATCAAATTTGCTCGTCAAAAAGTACAGTAATCTGTTCGGCGCAATGGACATTATTGCTCAGGAGCACAAGGAGCAGTCATCGTCAAGAACATTGAGAGGCAATAGGTAAAATTAGAAATGTGTCGTGAAATAACATGCTTCGTACGCAAACACGCTGACGCGCAAATGCACAAATTCGGTTGGAAGCCAATTTACATTTCTTTTTCAGACAAGGATCCGCTGGAGACAAGCCTTCATCGTCACAGCAGTCGAAGCGGAAAGGAGGTGATATGGATGTAAGCAGCTGGCGTGCCTTTGACGCTTTCTAAAATAAAATTTCAGGACGATTCGAACAGCAAGAAGCGCAAGGTGCACAGTCCGATAATAGAGTTGAGCGATTCGGATTCCGACTAAGTTTCTTTTTCGCTTGGTTTCTTAAATGTTAATTTATTTCCCTTTTTTTCCTGACATGCCTTCCCGAAAAAATCTCCCTTTCTTTCCGTGTGTCTTTCAACTCAAAACCAGTGAGCAGCCACTTTTATCACTTTTATTTAATTATTCACTCTGTTAATTAGTCTGAATTTCACTGATTCGATCCCTCCCCCATTCCCACACACATCATCATCATTTTTTGTCTCTCTTTGTCTCAAATACATTGCTGGTAACAATTTGAAATTATCAATTTTTTGCAGATACTTTATTAGGGAATAATCAGGTAAACACGGCGGTAAAATCAGGCACATTTCTTTAGACGCGAGCGGTGCGTCGCGGTCGCAGTTAAAACTTCTTCAGATTTGTTTCAGAGTGAGATTTGAACTGCGACCGCGACGCAACCGCTCGCGTCTAAAGAAAACGTGAAATCTAAATTTAAATCCATTTGTCTGATTTTACCGCTGTGGGTAAGAGATCAAGAAGCAATCAGAATCGGAAAAAAGCGAAAAAACGAATCAAATCTGATCAATAATATCGTCGAGCCCAACGATATGATCCTTCTTCGACGGATCCTCATCATCCTTCCCCACTCTTCGCATCTTCTCCTGTTTCCGATATTTGGCTCTTCGATTCTGAAACCAAACCTGAACTCGAGCCTCGGTCAAATCGATTCTCATCGCGATTTCCTCGCGAGTATATATATCCGGATAATGAGTTTCGCAGAATGCTCGTTCCAGCTCTTTCAATTGTCCAGAAGTGAACGTTGTTCGAATTCGTCGTTGTTTGCGACGTTCGGCAGGATTCAATGGGGGTCCGGATGAGCAGAGCGCACCTGGAAGCAGTATTTAGCTGAAATATCTGTTCAATTTTGGACGCGTCGCGTGTCGGCGTAGCGGTCGCCAGCTTAGTAGCTTAGACCCCAATTATCTCGAGTCCTATAAGAGATATCGAAAAATTGTTAACTAATAAAATGTTTTTCATTTCATGCGGAGTATTGTCTATTCAATAAAATGTGGGCGCGCCGCAGGTTGCAAAGTGACACCTTTTTGGAACGCGTTCCCTTTTCCCTCTTCTCACGCGTTTCATAAAGGGGCGTGTCACTTTGCAACCTGCGGCGCGCCCACATTTTATTGAATAGACAATATTTTGTTAGTGAACAAGGTTTTTCTAGCTACAGTAGTTTTTGAGATATGCGCCTTTAAAGTAGCGCGCACTTTTAGCAGCCTCATGGTGTACTAACTTTCAAGGCGCATATCCCCCCAACTGTAACTAGAAACAATTGGCAAACTAATAAAATGTTTATGACATTATGACAAACATTCGAATAGTGAACAATTTTGTAATAACTTTCATAGGAACCAAGATAATTCGAGGCAAAAAAAATATTTTACAAAATGGCGGTAGTTTGGAGGTACGGTTTCTTTGGTCTCAATTATCTCGATTTCTGTAAGATATATCAAACAACTGTAAACTAATAAAATTTTAATCGTTTTATGCCAAATGTTTTATTAGTTGACACAATTTTCCTATCTCTTTCAGAAATCAAGATAATTGGGCTTTTAGACATCACTACTCACCAACCAACGAATTTCTCTGTATTCCATTTAATACATTACTACTCGTTCGTTGAATTGTCTCATTTCCAATCAGTTGTGACTTTTGATATAATTGATACTGTAGTCCGGTATTGAAGAAAGCTTGAAGTGAGTCGTGAGTTGGATTACGGTAGTTTGACGAATTCGAAGATGACGTTGCGTTTCCGGTGGAGGAGTTCGATGAGTTTTGACCAGTGGTTATGGTTCTCAAAAATTCTTATTTTTCAGAAAATGCAAAATTCGACAATTTTGAGTGACTACAAAAGCACTTTAAAATAAAACAATCTCTTTGAAAGTTTCCAGATATACACAATAAGTCAAGATCTTTGACTTTGTAGTTGACAACTTTTTTGTACAAATGCGCTCTAGCGAGATGTGCCAATTGAAAATTTCCTTGCGCGCCAGCGCCAATCTCCTGTGGCGCATGCGCGCTGAGAGTAGGGAAACTTCCACGTGGCATATCTCGCTAGAGCGCATTTGCATAAAAAAGTTGTCTACTACAAAGTTAAAGATCTTGACTTATTCTGTATATCTGAGAAATTTCAAAAAGATTGTTTTATTTTAAAGTGCTTTTGTAGTTGCTCGAAGTTAGAATTTGCTTACAATTAGTGAAGTCTGAAAATTTCAAAACGATCCGACTATTCCTTTATGTTTTTGTAGACCGTTCTTTTGCGAATTTGGAAAACCTAAATTCCAAAATTCAAAATTTTGAAAATTCGAAAGTTCTATAACATTACAGTACTATTACCTTCCACTCTGAAGATACGGCGTTGCATATTGATGATAAATATTATGAGACTGGGGTGTGTAGAAAAACGAATTGGCCACAGAGGACGGAGCAGAAGTTGGCACGTCTACGGCTTGTTGAGCTACAGTACTACTTGAAAAATAGCCACCGTATTCCATCATCATGCTGCAAATAATTATTTTCCAGTCCCTAGACTATTCAAAAATCTATTCCACACAAAAAAACCAATAGCAATAATAGAATTTTAAAATAATTCATTTTTTGAAATAAATAAATTTCAAATTAAAAATTTTCTGAAGAAAATCAAAAAGAAAATTCAAAAATTGGATAACGATTCGACGAAAAGCGATTACTGAACCGATTTGAGCAAACAGTGGACCAGAAAAAAGGGGCGGAGCTTTTGTTGTGGTTCGTGGTCCCAAAAAGGGGGCGGAGCCTTGGCTTGGAGGATACTGTAGCTTCTGGGAGATTCGAGGTTTTTTTGGAATTTTGAAAAAAAAATCTGAAAATCTGAAATTTTTAATTTTTTGAACTTTTGAAATTTTGTGTTTTGAGTTCAAAAATTTCAATTCCCCCCAAATCCAAAATTTCTAGGTCACATAGAAAACTAGAACTTTTTATCTCTATAATTTAGGAATTATAGAGTACTTGACTTCCAGAATTTAAAAAATCCAAAATTTCAGAACTCCAAATTTCCAAATTCAAGGCTTCCTAAATTTTAGAATCTCCGAATTCCAGAATCACAAGAATCCAAAATTCCGAAACTGCAGAATTCCAGAATTATGAAATTTAAATATTCCAAAATTCTAGAATTCCAGAACTCCAAAGTCATTGAATTTCAAAATTCCATTATTCCAAAATTCCAAAAATCAATTTTCAATTTCCGAGAATTCCAGAAATTCAAAACTCCGGAATTCCAGTTTTTCAATAATTCAATATTCAAAAAATTCAAACTTCCAGAATTTCGAAATGGCAGAATTTTCAGAGTTTCAAAGTTCCAGAATCTCAAAATTCTGAATTTTGAAATTAAAAATTTGAGAATTGCAAAAATGTCTGAATTCCTGAATTCCAGAAATCCAGATTTCAAGTATTTGAAAATTTCAGAATTCCGGAGTCTCTAAATTTTAATATTCCCAGAATCCAGGATTTAAAAATTCAAAAAATCCTAAATTTCAGAATTTAAAATCTTAAATTCCAATATTTCAGAATTCCAGAACTCCAAAATAACAGAATTTCAAAATTAAAAACATCCAAAATTTTCAACTTTCGATTTCCGAAAATTCCGGAATTTCAAAATTCAAAAATTCCAAAATTTAAAAAAAAGCCAATTTTCAGAATAATTCCAGAATTCCAAATTTCGAAACTCCAGATATCCGGCATTCAAATCATCTCAATTTTCTCGTTTTCTCTCTCTCTCTCTCTCTCTCTCTCTCTCTCTCTCTCTCTCTCTCTCTCTTTTTCCCCTCACTTATCCAAATTTTCTCCTAATTTCCGTTAAAACAACGCGTCATATTGTCTTCTTCTTCTTCCCCTAAAAGATACACTTGACATCTCATTCCCTAAGTGTTTTGCCATCCATCTCTATCTCTCTCCCTTTTCGCGGATTACTGTAAATTAGCACAACATGTGCAATCACACCAAATTGTGTCACCAAAAACAAATCAAATAGAAAACATTTATTCGATTAAAAATCCGGATAGAATCAAATGTATCTTCTCGGAATTCGCGGAGTAGGACACTCGCAGTAGTTTCCATCCCGTCCGGGACGACCCTTTCGACCAGTCTGAAAATTTTAAGCGACTACAAAAGCACCTTAAAATAATCTAATTTGCCTGAAATTTTAAATTTACATTAAACAGATCTAGAGCTTCAATTTTGTAGTTGACAGCTTTTTTGTAAAAATGCGCTCTAGCGAAATATGCTGCCTGGACGTTTGTTTGCCTTCACCGTGCGCAGACGCACCGCATCTCGTCAGAGCGCATTTGCACAGAAAAGTTGTCAGCTATAAAAATTCGAAATCTTAAAATTCCGAAATCCCAGAATACCTAAATTTCAGACATCCAGAATTCGAAAGTTCCTGAATTTCCACTTTAAAAAAAATCAGTATTCCAGAATTACAGAATTATTGATATTCAAAATCTAGAGCTTCAATTTTGTAGATGACAATTTTTTTTACAAATGCGCTCTATCGAGATACGGATACGCCACGTGGAAGTTTGCATACTTTCAGCGCGCCCCGGTGCCGACCTCCTGTGGTATATGCGCGCTGTAACTTGACATATCCCGCTAGACTACATTTGCACGAAATAGTTAACTTTAGAATTCCTAAATTCCAAAACTCTTAAATTCCAAAGTTCCAAAATTTCGGAATTTCAAAATCACAGACTTTTTTAATTTTCGGATTATTTGAGTGACTACAAAAGCACTTTGAAATAATCTAATTTGTCTGAATTTTCAAACATACATCAAACAAATCTATAGCTTCAATTTTGTAGTTGACAGCTTTTTTGTACAAATGCGCTCTAGCGAGATGTGCCAATTGGAAGTTTGCTTAGCGCGCACTTTCGTTTTAGTGGTGTATCTCGTCAGAGCGCATTTGCAAAAAAAACTTGTCAACTAAAAAAAATTAGCTCTTAATTTGCTGAACATATTCTAAAGAATTCAAAAGAATCTGACAATTCCTTTATACTTTCGTAGGCATTAAAGGAAACTTACCTTCCCAGTGTCTCCAGGTTTTCCATTCAATCCATCTCTACCAGAAAGTCCAACAGGACCAACAAGGCCAGTGTTGTAAACTAAAACATTTTTTCTAGACCATCAAATATAGAAAATCAAGGCCACAACCTACCAAAGCCTGCAGGTCCCTGTGCTCCTTGATATCCTTCTCTTCCTGGTGGACCAAGTGGACCAGGGGGATTAATAAATCTATTAGAATCTCTTCCAGGAGGTCCTATAGGTCCAGGTGGACCTGGAAATCCAGGATATCCAGGAACTCCTATTGATCCCATTAGTCCAATAGATCCAATCACTGCTTTCATTGATATTCCTTTCTTTCCATTCTTCCCTTTTCGACCCATTTCTCCTTTCTTTCCACGTTTTCCCGGTTTCCCTGCAGGACATTTGATACAACCTCCAGCCACAGCTACACTGATTCCTGATGATCCATCGGTTCCATCGATACCTGGTTCTCCTGGTTCTCCGTCTCTCCCAGCTTTTCCTTGGGGTCCTTGTGGTCCAGGTGGACAGTTTTGCGACTTTTCTTGGCAGTCTGAAAAATTGCTCTATTTAGAATAGTGTAATTTTAGCAACCTTTTAGACAGATTTCCTTTTTTCTCTCTCCTTCTCCGATGTGTTCTGAATCTGAAACAAAATGGCACAAAGTTACTTTGATTCAAAATATTTCAGTTCCTAGGAAAGCTATCAGACAGTGGTCAATTAGTAAAATATGTAAAATAAAATTTTCAACATTTTATCTGTTAACAACTTTTTGATATCTTTTACAAGTATCGAGAAAAGTTGGGCCAAAGTATCGTAACCACTTAAATAGAATGTCTCAAGTACCGTTAGCTTTAAGCCTATATATCTCATTTCCTGTTGAAGATGTCGAAAAGTTGTCAACTAATAAAATATTGGAAATTTCATTTTACACATTTTACTAATTGACAACTTTTTTGTATCTCTTAAGATAGCCTAGGTAATATGAGCTGGAGAGACCTACTGTAGCGCTTCGCCCGTTTCAGATGACTCAATTCCCTCCAAGCCTCATTGGATGCATACTGCAAATGCGCTCTATTGGGCTTTTCAAACCAAAAGTTTGTCTCACTGAAAACTCGAAGATCTCAATTTCGATTGTTTTCTGCATTGCCTGAATTTCATGAAAAATTTTAAGAAAATAAAAAGCGAATAATAGAAATACTGAAGAGAATCCCAAAATGTATGCAGAGAGAATTTTGGTTTTTTCGGACATTTTCTGAAGATAACGGGATGGGAAATGCATTTATTTGGGTTATATATGGTAATTAGCGGGTACTTGATGTACTACATACAGAAAAGAACCAGTTGGTTGAAAAGGGAAAGGAAAGGGAAGAGAGTGGATCATCACAGAATATATAGATACGCCCAAGAACAAGAAAAATATAGAAAAAAGTGTGCTCTATTGATAATTATCTCTCCTTTGCAGATTTTATCAATAGAGTGCACTTTCTCGACTACTTTGTAAACAAATTGGTAAACGTTGTGATCATTGTGGTTACGAATGCATAAGTGTAGGCAACAAGTGCAGTGATCATTTGAGGAGTTGCTGAGATGCGTCTAGAAATTGGGGAAGATCGAATTAGGGCACGAGAGGGTTGTTGTTGAATGGAAATTGAAGTTTGAGACGGAATTGTGATTATTGGGACACCAATACTTTCAGTGGAAACGCGACGTTGGGCATTGGTTATGCTGAAAGACGATTTATTTTTGAGTTTGTCTGCATTCTGGCGTAGCGGTGTTTACGTTTGTCGGCTTCACAATTGTTTCTACTTTATAACCGACACGCACCAGTCTGCTACTGTTGCCTGTATGGCGTAGTAGTAAACGCCTCCATTTTGGAAATGACACTTTTTGGTTCGATCTTTCCCTCTTCATATTCTTTTTTTGGCTTTTGTTTTTTTTTCTTCATGTTAATGTTCAGAAAACGGTCTTGGGAATAAAAATTTCAAATTTTTGGAAAAAATTTTCTTCAAAAAAAAAAATCAAAAAATTCCTTACCTAAAAATGGGCGGTACAACAATGTTATGGCTATTTTTACTTGTGGAACTTCTCGTCGTAATATCCCCATCCTCATTGAAAACTGCTTTTTTGGGTTTTGATCTATTTTTGGGAATTTCGCGTTCCGAAATTTCAGGAATCGTTTCGAGTGGAGGCGGTTGGGAAACAACAGACATGTCTGAAAAAATTTCAATGTTTTTCTAGCAGCTGCTTTATAAAAGTTAGAGATTTAGAGAAACAAATTTTAGCCAAAAAAGATTTATTGAAGTCATCAGTGATTGATTCATCACAAAACTTATCAAAATTTCAAAACTTTCAAATTTCAAGCACATTTACTTGGATAGATAATCGATGTTGATGGTCCTGTATCGACACGCGGAGTCACTTCAAGCCCCTCTTCGATTCTTGTCATTCGAATGAGTTCGGTCATTGGGTGGAGTTTGCTGCAAACTGTTTCTCACTATCAGCAGGTTATCGAAAGCGCCCGATTGGCTATATTGTCGAATTAAAAAAAGTGGGACCTGAGAATTTGAAAGGCGCAGTTTTTTTTTTATCTACAAAAAAGTGCGGCAAAAACGTAATCAGTGGTCCACATAATCATTGTTCCACCCTGAAGTTTTACTTGAAGACCTATTTAGGTCAAGTTTCATGAAAAGGTGTCAACATGAAAGTTGTAACCCTTCTTGAGAAATGGCACCTCGAAAAATTCGGAGTCGACTGCGTGACCCAGAAAAATTTCCTGACCGAAATTCCGAAAAACACGTTTTTTCCCATCCACAAAATCATTGTTCCACTCTCAAAATCACGCTTTTTGGGGAAATTAGGTAGAGAAAATTCTGTTGATAAATTACAAAATTTTGGAAAGAAGATCAGCTGTGTAGAATTTTTTGCTTAAAAAGATGAGAGACAAACAAAAAACTGAAAATTAGTTATCTCTGAGTCCTCAATGCATGTGGATAGTCTGAAAGTTGGAGTGTCTATCGAAAGATACCGGTTATCAGTAATTTGTTGACCAACTTGGCTCAAAATATCAATTTCTTGGTTTTTTGAGTTCATCCATAATCTGATACTCTTTGTCAGTTTAATTAAGAAGTTCCCGACTTTTTTCGGTTGAATTGAAGTCAAGTGAACATAAAGTCTATGTGGCAAGTATGATGAGATAATGTTTGAGCAGCTCTGAAAGTCTCGCGATCTTGTGAAAAGGGAAATGAAATGAAAATGAATTTGTGATTACGGTGTCGACGCCAGAATGTTCAAATTCCTTGTCTCAGGTCGTAGCAACAATCAACGGTAACCATTACTCTTGCTACAGAGAGTTTCAATCACCCTTCCGATGATACTGTCACCAACAACATGCCTACCTAATGTATCAATACCTAAAAACACTTTTATGAATGAGTACTCATCCCTAAATCGAGAAGATCTGCAAAGTGGCTCAAAGAAAACCACTTTCAAATGTTCACACAACATAAACCTGCTAGAAAATGAATGGGCGTTGATGGTTCATATGCTTTACAAAACTAACAAACACTATCAGATTATGGATGAACTCAAAAAACCAAGAAATTGATATTTCGAGCCAAGTTGGTCAACAAATTACTGATAACCGGTATCTTTCGATAGGCACTCCAACTTCCAGTCTATCCACATGCATTGAGGACTCAGAGATAACTAATTTTCAGTTTTTTGTTTGTTTCTCATCTTTTTAAGCAAAAAAATTCTACACAGCTGATCTTCTTTCCAAAATTTTGTAATTTATCAAATTTATCAGGATTTTCTCTACCTAATTTCCCCAAAAAGCGTGATTTTGAGAGTGGAACAATGATTTTGTGGATGGGAAAAAACGTGTTTTTCGGAATTTCGGTCAGGAAATTTTTCTGGGTCACGCAGTCGACTCTGAATTTTTCGAGGTACCATGTCTCAAGAAGGGCTACAACTTTCATGTTGACACCTTTTCATGAAACTTGACCTAAATAGGTGTTCCAGTAAAACTTCAGGGTGGAACAATGATTATGTGGACCACTGTATTTCAGACTTTCGCCTCGTTCGAGCTACTTTCGCAATTGAGTTCGGTTTTTCGATGAAAAACGGATTCTAGAGATGCTAGCAATCATTTTCATACCAAGAAATCTACATTTTGTCCAGAAAATCCCACTGAACTCACATAAATAAGTTTCGTTTACTACTGTAGTGATTTTGAGGCAAGGCCTCAAAAATTGACCGGGAAGCCGCCCGCGAATTTTTCCAGGTCCCACTTTTTTTAATTCGAAACTAGAAACGAGTGCCCCTATATTAATAACGAGACTAGCCAACTGGTTGTGTTTTGCGCCACCGTTCAAGAGGCCGCGGGTTCGAGCCCACCCTAGAGCAAACTAGTCCTTGATCCTTTTTGCAAGTTTACCTGTCATTAGTCCTCGATGTGCGTGCAGTTTCAAAAAGTTCCAAGTTGATTTCCGAGAGAGTGTCCGGTGCCAATTGAATCGGAATAGTTGGTGCAGGTGAAGTGGGACGGATTGCCACGTGTGGGACCATTAGATGGGGTTGGCCGTTGACTTTGATTTCGATAGGCTCTAGATGCGAGTTGTTCGGTGGGTTTGTCGTTTGTTGAGATGACGAAGACCTTCGGAATACTCGAGAGCAACAGCATATGGAGGATGTTCCGTTGGGGGACATCCTATGCGCCTATAAACTAAACAAAATTTTTTAAGAAGTGGGAGAAGAAAAAGAAGAAGGAGAGGGGTGAAATGAGAACCTAACCAGGTTAGGAGCCGCCGTTTTTACATATGTACATGTCACACATTTTCTCTCGTTTCTCTATTTTTCGGTTTCTGGGGCAACCGCTGGAGAGATTTCCTTCTTCTTCTTTTCCTGGGTAAAAGAGGGAATAAGAAAAAAAATAGAAGTTGATCATTGATAACATATATACATACAAATTAGCGAGCTATAAACTACGCATGACTGAATGTGAAAATTTCAGATTTTGGTTTCTTGGACACTTTCAAAGTTTTTGAAAGCATTTTCAAGGGGCAGGAGGGATAAGGATACAAAAAATGTTTCAGAAAATACAAAAGTTATCGGATTACTGGACCCTGAACAAGCTTCAAACAAAGTGTGCTGCATTGAAAATTCAAAAGATCGAATTTTAGGATTACTGTAATTTTCGAAATTTAAAAAAAGATAGTTCTAGATTTTCTCATTTATAACCCACTTTTCCAAAAACTTAAATTTCAGAAAATACAAAAATATTAGGATTACTGTAGTCAAATTTAGTACAAAGTGTGCTCCATTGAAAATTTAAAAACAAACGAATTTTAGGATTACTGTAGTTTTGGAAATGTTTATATGGTTTTTGGATTTTCTGACTGAAAATCGATATGTTGTACGTTTTCAGAGCATTTACAGAGAAAAATCTGAAAATGTGTAAATTCTAGAGAATTTATTTCAAATGCGAATTTTCCAATTTTTCAAAAAAATTCAAGAAAAATACAGTAATCCGAAAAAGATAAGGGTACAAAAAAGCCAGAAAACACAAAAATCATAGGATTACTGTACTCCTAACAAGTGTGCTCCATTGAAAATTCAAAAGGTCGAATTTTAGGATTACTGTAGTTTTGGAAATGTTTGCATTTGGTTTTTGGATTTTCTGCAAAACAGAAATTTCAGAAAATACAAAAAATATTGGATTACGGTACTTTGAACAAGTTTAATACAATGTGTGTTCCCTTGAAAGTGAAAAACAATTGATTAAGGATTACTGTAGTTTTGGAAATGTTTTATATGGTTTTTGATTCTCTGACTAGAACCCTACTACTGTATTTCTAAATTTTTCAGAAAAAATTCAGAAAATACAAAAAATAAATTTTCAGAGCTAGAAGTGTAGATCTGAAAACGTAGAAAAAGTCTTCCAAATTTGACTTTTCAATTTTTCAAAAAAATTCAAGAAAAATACAGTAATCCGAAAAATAAAGATACAAAAAGTCAGGATTACTGTAGTTTGAACCAGTTCTCTACAAAGTGTGATCTATTCAGGATTACTGTAGTTTGGAAACGTTTCGATTTGATTCTTGGATTTCCAATTTTGCAATTTTAAGAAATATAAGGAAAATACAGTAATCCGAAAAAATCTGTGATCTTTTTTTCAATTATTGGACTGCAAAACTCAAGTTTGTTTTTTACTACTTTTCCAAAATCTACAGTATCCGTCACCCTGCAAAAATTGAAATTTCAAAAAATCCTTGTAAAAACTTCTTTAAAGCGAAAATTTGGACTCAAAAAAAAACTGAAATCAATATTGAAATATAATGTTCCGTTATCATTATAGTTTGTTCTTCTTTTTCTGTCAAAAACTGTCAATTATTCTGTTCCTTGTATCGGGTTGAAAAAAAACGGGAGTTTATGTGATAAAATACGCTTTATTATCACTCATTCTTTGACACACTTTTTGCGGTTGCTTTGTGTGGTGCGCTCCATTGAACCGTCGGCGGGAGTTTGAAATTTCCGAATTTTGAGAAAAAATCGAATTCCCGCGCTGAAATCTGAAAAAATTCAAAATTCTTTCGAAGTTCCCGCGCAAGTTCAGAGTTTTCTAGGTCATCAGTTGAAAATTGTCTGAAATCGAGAGAAAAATTAAATGTTTTCCGATTTTTTCAAACTTTTTTTCCGATTTTTTTTTCGGTTTTTTTTTTCGATGTCTTCGAATTTTTTTCTAGAATTTTCTAAAAATTGCCTTTATTTTCAAACTCCCTCTGTTTCCCAATTTTCAACTTTGGTCCGTCCTTTTTTGCAACACGTGCATTTTTACGAAATTCCCCCCCAAACAATTTTCTGGCTCCGCCCACTTTTTTTGCTCTGAATGAGCAATTATGTTGGCAACGGACAATAGCTAGGACTCTTAGCGACCAAGACGAGAATTTTTCATTCTTTTCAAAAAGTCAGAAGCCCATTTTCCTGTTTATTTGCTCCTGGAAAAAATGAAGAACTACAGAATTTTCGCATTTTTGCTACTCGTACTGATTTTGGGTGAGTTAAATGCACTCTAATGAGAATTTTGTTAGCAGCAGAGCGCTTTTTCAGAGACCGCCGCCGAGTCGCCGGCTGAACCAGCAGCGACAGCTGCTGCCGAATCGAAACCCGACGTCGTTATCAAATTGATAAAGCGAGGTGATAACAAATTCATGATTTGTGATTAAAATTGAAATTTGCAGGCGCCGCTCAGCGGCTCGAAGACAGTTCCAATGAGGAGATGGCTAGAGAGAAGAGACGCAGCAGCAGTAAGAAGAATAAGGGACGAAAAGTTGGAAAGAAATAAATGTTTTCGCAAATTCATTGTTTTTAAAATATGTCAAATTAAAGAATATACATAATAAAGATAATAAATAATAATAATTTTGAAATTCCAGAATTCGAAATTTGAAAATTCCAGAATGTCACATTTTCAAGTTCCAAAAACCTGAAATTCCAGAATTTCTGAATCCCACAATTCCAAAAATCGAATACAATATGAATCAATCAAACAATAAATCAATCAACAATAATAATTTATTGAATTCCTTCGAGAAGTTTTGTGATCCTTTTGAGTACTATCGGCTGGTCACAATAGAGATTTGCCACGTGGTAGGGGGCTTCGAAGCGAACACATTGACCGATGATCCATGTGCCGTTTGGATTCTCGACGACGTCGAGGTGATGGGATTTTAGGTAGTTGACCACTTTGAGGCATCTGGAAATGAAGGATTTTCGAGATTCAGGCTATTTTTGAACTGAAATTTGCAATTTTCGCAATAGAGCGAGTTTATGGAAATTCTGAAATTACAGAATTTCAGAACACAAATTTACCAAAATTTCCAGAATTTCAAAATCGCAAAATTTTTTAAATTCTGGAACTTTGGATTTTTGAAATTCCAAAAATCCAAAATTACAGAATTCCGAAATTCTGAATTTTCAAATGTCCAAAAACTACAGAAAACTACAGAATTCCAGATTTACCGAAATTTCCAAAATTACAGAATTTCGAATTACCTAAATTACAGAATTTCATATTGTCCAAAAAATCTGAAATTCTAGTATTTCTGAATCCTACAATTGCAAAAATTCCAAATTTCCAGAATTCGAAAATTCAAAATTTCGGAATCCAGAATTCCGAAAGTTCTGAAATTTTGGAAATTTGAAATTCCAGAACTCCAGAATCCCATATTTCCAAAAATGACATGTTTCGAAATTCCAGAACACCAAAAATTCAAAAGTTCCAAATTTTCGGAAATCCAAAGTTTCTAATTTCCAGATTCCCAGAATCCCACAAACCCAAAAATCTGAAATTCCAAAATTCCGAAAATTCTGAAAATCCAGAATTTCTAAATTCTAAAATTCCAGAATTCCGAAAATCCCAAAATTTACAGATTCTGAAATCCCAAGCTTCCAAGATTACAGAATACCAAAATTCTAAAGCTCAAAAATTTCGGAACTCCAAATTGCCGAAATCCTAAAATTCCAAACATCCAATATTTCAAAATCTCAAATTCCAAAACTTTGGAATTCCATAATTTCAAAATTTCATCTCTTCAAATTTCCAAAAACCTGAAATTCCGGAATTCCTGAATCCCACAATTTCAGAATTCCTTAATCTCACAATTCCAATATTCCAAAATTTCATATTCAGATTTTTAAATTTCTAGTGTTGTCAAGTGCGCTCTACTGATATAATATTCTAAACGTCTCATTGACGTCAAACGTGTGAAAATAAAAAAGAAGACGTCAATAATTCACACCTCTTCTGAATATCCTCATCCGACTCGTTGGCTCCGCCCACTTCCTCCGCAAAATATCGATCGATTTCTTCATTGATTTCCTGGGTCGGCTCGCTAATCGATTCGACGGATTTCACAGAGCAACTGGGAATCCATTCGATTGTTTCGATTGTGCCGTCTGAAAATGCGCTCTATTGAGAAAATTCGTTTTATGTCATTATAGCGCAATTTAGGTACTTTTTTCTTCAATTTTCGCAAGAACCAACGCCTGGCAAACTGGATCTCGAGTCATCAATCGCCCAGAAGTCGTTGCATCTTTTCTAGAGTCCCCTGTATCCAGCACGACTCGAATTTCATGACCCAGAAGGTCGTAGGCCTGGTGGTCCGATAGTTTCGACATATTTCTTCTGAAAAATGAAAAAAAAAACTGGAAAAGATAAAGAAAAAGAATAAGAGAATAAAGGTAGTTAAATCAGGGAGCCACAATTGAGCAAAAAATTAATTAATTTAAAAAAATCATTGCATATAATTATTATGTCACAATCAACCCCCAGAATTTTTTTGTTCAATTGAAAATCACAAATTACGGTTAGGCCACAACCAATACGACAAGAATTGAATTAGCACAGCAAAAAGAACCAGTCTTCAGGTATAGATAGAAAGGCAAGGGGGATGATTAAGGCTTTCATTCGGTCAGGAAAGCCGACCGACCGACCACCGACCGAGCCGACCGTCTTCGTGCACTTGCGCGTCAACGTGTTTACATACGCAGCACTGTATTTTACGACAAACTACAGACAAATTTAAATAGCCGTTTTGATGAGCAAAGGCACGAAATCGGTCAGCTCGGACCGCTGCCGGTCGGCGGCCGGCGATTTTCAACCGACCGAAACGGAAGCCTTAAGGATAATAATACAAAAGAAAATTGGAATTTTTCAATAAATATACATATACAATTAGCGTTCTTGATGGAGTTGATGCATTAGCAGAAGATCCTCTTGCGATGGCTCGTAGATTCGTCCCAATATGATTTTGTCCTTGAACAATTTGGCAAAAAGGAGATAGTTGGCGAACATGAGAAGCACAAACGTCACAATGTGCTGCCAGTCATTGGTGAGGACCAGCATCCAGAATTGGATGAAGATTAGGCGAATTCGAAAGTGCACATTGTGTTGATGAGGTAGTGCGGCTTTTGGAGCACTTTCTGGAAGGAAAATTTTTTTAATTTTGAAGTGCTGGCCTAACTTTTGCAAGTTGGGTTTTCTAGGCCGCCACTTCAAAATGACCTAGAAATGGCCTAACATGACCCTGGTATGTTTTTTAGGTCATTTTGAAGTGGCGGCCTAGACTCCCCTTCTTGCTGTAGTAAGGCCTGTCATATGGGAACCACTGGATCGTTTTAACCAAAGATAGAAACAGTAAAAAGACCAAGTACTTCCTGATCTCAAATACTAAGCTATCACACTCCCCTCCCTGTAATCAGTTTAAGGTCTATGAAGGTTCCTAGGAAAAAAAAAGTTACAGATGAAACAACAAGATGGACAAGTTCAAGGATGACCTTCTCCATCTACCCATAAGTCTTGTCTGTCACCAGGTAGAGACAGAAAGATCTGTAAGTTGAGGAGAGATCTATACCAAGCCACTGCTCTTAGCTTACAAGGGTTAATTGCTTGGAGCTAACTAGAACATGATGTGTAGAAAGGCGCTTAACATAATGGAGACAACACTGAACTTCAAATCAGAACACC